ATGGTAGATGTTTAATAAACCCTTCCTTAAATACCTATTCAGGATACTTAACTCAAATGCCCATTTCTTGGAGGGACAAGAAAAGAAGAAGAGAGAGCCCTGACAGAGAGAGCACAGTATCCACAAGCCAGAAAGGGGTATGGGGCACCAACCATGGCAGCTCTCTAGAAAGAAGGCAGAGGAACAAGGGTGCTGATCTATGGATAGGCACTAAAAGCAACTGTCTTCTCACAGCCTCTTGAGGGCCAAAGCTCATGGACTTCCATCCTGGAGACAGGTAGTTAATTCCATCTATTGGAAACTAGAAGTTCTGCTAAAACTCAGCCCAGCTTCCCCTTTGTAATCTCCATGCTCCCTAGCTAAGAGGGTAGAGTGTCAGTTTAACATCTCCAGATCTGGGTTGTAGCAAAAGGAAAGGAAACTCAGAGGTGAGGGAAAAGCATGAGGCTGAAGCTTGGTGAGTCTGGGCAGAGAGAAAGAAGGTGGCCAGAGCAGGATCTCAGCAGGTATACCGAGGTACCAGCCTGGCTGGTGTCCTTTGAAGTCAGTTGAGGTTTGCAATGGGTGTTGTTAGCCTTCTCACTCCTTGATTCTGTCCACTTTATCAGATATTATGTGATGCCATGTTCTTTCACTCATACTTGCAACTTTAACACTAAAGTATAAATGACTGGTAACCATACAGAGAAAGGTAGGAACATACCCCATGCTGTGGCACCACTATCCCTTACATATGCTCAGTGGGCATAGTCAGAAATTATGTCTTCCTTTCCACCAGTTTTGACTCCAAGATTTTTTTTTTTTTTTTTGTACAAAATAGTGCTTTGGTGGTTACTACAAACTGAAAAGAGCTGCTAAGGACGCTGAAACTCATTTACCATCCCGGGGATGGAATGCTGTGTTTCGCAGTAACTATTTATTTGTAGTTATGATAAACACCAAAGGGATGGAGGTCTAATATAATTTCAGGTGACAAATACTTACGAAGATGATATTTTGCATAAGAACCTTTTTAGGGCCCTCTGCCATCTGGTATCTTACTCCATCTATGCGTAGTGCTTGGCAAGTAGTAAATTCTCAATAAAAGTTAGTGAGATAAACAAATACATGAGTTGATTTCTAGCGACATCATCAAAACACTCTCTTTCTTGGGGAAATGTGTCGATGACTATGAGCTAGACCAGCTGCAACACTCACACAGAAATTAGAATCTTAATAGACGATGAGCAAGGATGGAACTCAGAGCTGAATGGGAATCTTTTGTGCTCATTTGAAACTTGGCTCTGACTGTGGCTTCTCTGTCACAGATTTTGGGATGGGAGAGTGCTCCTACAGGGAAAGCCATGGACGCTGACATGGAAACTGAATAGAACTTTGGCTAGGCTGGGAATCATTGCTATTGCAGTCAGTTCCAGATGTCTGCTGTTGGAGTTTTAAGGGAGAGGCAAAGATGCGGGGAATGTGGGGCCCCCCTAGGGTGGAAGGGGGAGTGACTGTTAAAGTCACCCTTCAGGGATCCCTGGGTGGTGCAGCGGTTTGGCGCCTGCCTTTGGCCCAGGGCACGAACCTGGAGACCCGGGATCGAATCCCACATCGGGCTCCCGGTGCATGGAGCCTGCTTCTCCCTCTGCCTGTGTCTCTGCCTCTCTCTCTCTCTCTCTGTATGACTATCGTAAAAAAAAAAAAAATAAATAAAGTCACCCTTCAATATGCTGCTATGATGGATTGGATAAAGCTTTTTAAAATTGAGTTCTTCAGTAGTGCCTCTTTCATTTACATGCTTAACTGTACATGTAGGAATAGGCAAACTAAAGAAATCTTTGTGAAATAATCAGGATTCAAAAACAAAACAAAGCAAAACAAAACAACAAAACTGAACCTTACCCCTTTGGGTTGCCATCTAATATTTATGAAGCGCCAGCCATTGAATGTACACACACCAGATAAGCCAACTGGCACTGTAGCTATTGTGCTAACCTAACAAGCTCACCAGATGCTTTTTATCCATCTACTTTCTCCTTTCATGTTGTTTTGGAGTTGTCTTTTAATCCCAGTACCGCCATTATGAACTAGAAAATGATGTCAGGTTGTAATGTTGAAGTACATGGAGATGAGGCCCTTTGAAGTCTTCAGAAGGGGTGTTCAGGTCCTTCTCAAGAGGCTCTGGCATCACCATGGTTCGATCCAGGGGAGTATGTCAGAGAAGGCTCCGCTGGATTGGTAGGGTTTCTTGTTTCTTTGTTTTACTGGGAGGGTATGGCATTAGCATGATACAAAGGGTGGAAGGCAAAGCTTCAGGAGAAGTAGTAGAGCACAGCAGTTAAGAAGTATATGGATTTGAATCAGACAGACTCAGTTCAAGTTCAGACTGTCACTTGCTAGCTATGTGAGTGTACACAAGTTACTTAACCTCTTTAAAGATTGTTTTCTTCATCTGCAAAGTAGGAATAGGGCCATTGAGTCTTTGCTCAATGGGGGAGTCATGGTAGATACACCTTCTACTTTGTTCAACCAGGTTGTGAGCTAACCAGAAACAAGACAAAGCATTAGGCAGATGGAGGTCAACATATCACCTTTATTATTGTTAAAGCCGATATTAAAGAATGTGGCACCTTTCTATGGGCAAGTGAGCTTCACAGCCAGAACTTTCTACACAGCAGCCCAAGACCAGGACAGCGTTCCCTCCTCCAGGGGTAGGGCACAATGTGTGCTGACTCAGGATGGGGAAGAGAAGTAGCTTGCACCATCCCCATTTTTTTCTCCATGCTCTACTATAGGATTAGTTTTTTCTCCCTGGGGACAGGATAAGGAAGTGGGGAGAAGCTGGGGGTTACATTTATGAATCTACTCTTCATGGAAGACAATACCAAGAGTGGAAGAAAACTCATTGCTCCTAACAGGAGCAATTTCAGAGGATCTGTGTAAGGATTCTGAAATGAGGGAACATGTTTAGCAAATGCTAGATGCTCAGCGAAATTTATTGATTGATGTTGCTACAACCATTGTCACAAAGCATTGGGATAGAGGCAAGGAAATGAGGTGAGCATTGTTTGCAGGGAAAAATGGAGGTGTTCAGAAAATGATATGTGTTGTACTTAGGGAGAAAAAAGAAACACTTTAGGATATCTTTAAACCAGACAAGAGGAAAATGCTTGTACTTAACTACGCTCTGTTGTTGTTGCTCTGAGATGGGAAGTCCAGTTGGAAATCTCAGGACAGAGTAGAGGAGATTGGACTTAAAATAGCTGAGAGAAAGCAAAGCCCTTAACTGATAAATGTGAAACAAGAAGATGTCATTGAACTGGGTGCAGGAGATCGTACCAATTATCACTCTCCTGGGATGATTTCTGGGTTTTGGGCAGGTGACCAATCCCTCTTTATGTGCTTTCTTTCTTCTTTTTAAAGATTTTGTTTATTTATTCATGAGAGACACACAGAGAGAGGCAGAGACATAGGCAGAGCTCTGGAGAAGTAGGCTCCCTATGGGGATCCTGACATGGGACTCGATCCCAGGACCCCAGGATCATGACCTGAGCCAAAGGCAGACACTCAGCCACTGAGCCACCCAGGCGCCCCTCTATGTGGTTTCTTATTTGGGGCATGAGATCGGTCCACATGCTTTCCCCAGTCTGAGGTTTCTACTAGTTCTTTAACCCCATATTTGGGTAGGATTGCTTTCTTCTTGAGCTGAAAATATGCAGACAAAGGCAGGTGCAGTGCAGGGAAGCCCTTCAGTTTTTGCCTACATCCCTCTCATTCCATCCAGACCCTATTCAAAGCTCTTGAGCTCTTCTGAGATTTTTCTGGATACTTTTTTCCCTGCTAATTCTTACACAGTATTAAAACATAAACTTGCTGCAAATTTCAAAAGCAATAATTATTCCAGATCTTTACTGGCCTCTGTTTTGAGCTGGGCATGATCTCTGTTTAAAGCAGTTTTCTAAATTGCTTACCTTAAGTTTTCCTCTGAGAATTAGCATCCAGGAGATTTTTTTCCTCTTCTTCTTCCACCCTGCCTCCCCACTTCTTCTGCTTTCTTTAGCTGTGGGCCTTAAAGTCTCCGGCTGTATATAAATGATGCTAAAGGTAGCCAACTGGACTTTCTAAGATTCAAGGGTGACTCACTTGATCTCTAGAGGAGGCCTCACATTGGCAAGTTATTACTGTCTCATTTCATAAAACATAGTAATTTCAAGTTATTGCCAGAAAGACAAAAATCAGAGGGAAGCTGGAGAAGTGATATGTAGTAATACAGAAACATACTTCAAAACTGAACATGAAAAACAGTGAATTTGAGGAGAGAGAGAGATGAAGACCATGATAAAAGAAAGATCATCAGAATATGCCAATGTTCTGAGTGTAAAGAGGCTTACTCAGGTGCCTTTGGGGAGTTGGTGATTCTAATTATCTGCCATATAATTTTAAGGAAAGAGCATGTAATCACATGCATAAACATGCTTGCTGTGGGAGGATGCTCTAATAGTCTTGACATGTCCAAGGTTGTGCAGATTGGTTCCCATAATATCTCACCTGCTTTTCACCTTTGCGCTGTGTGAGCTGAGACGGCCTCTATCGTTACAGGGGAAGCAATCTGACTGTGGCTCAGGGGATGGGAAGTGGAAACCTGCCATAATATTTTGAGGAAGCACATTTCAGCCCTTCCCCAAATGTTAAGCAAGCTTTTAAAATTATAAATCTAATGACACCATGAAGTATGTTTTGATGTTTCCATCAATGAGCACTTCACGGTAATGTCTCCACAGTGGAGCAAGCCTGTATTTGGTTGAAAATTTGGCCAGTTCAGAAGTCCCCGAGTTTTGGATAAACCGAGAGGTTGCCCAATTAATGTGGCAGCTAAAAAATTTGCTCTACGAAGCAAAAATGATAGGACTCAACATTGAAGTGTGAAAATGAATGCCATTTTGTTGTTTCTCTTGAAAGTCAATCTTTTGAGTTACTCTTCCTAGCATCTGCTAAGTGGTTTTGTTGTTGAATTTTAGGGCTTGGCGCAATATTCCATCCTCTTTTATGGCTATTACGACAATAAACGAACAATTGGATGGATGAATTTCAGGCTGCCACTCTCCTATTTTCTGGTGGGGATCATGTGCATTGGATACAGCTTTCTGGTGGTCCTTAAAGCGTAAGTCTCATTGGTCTCTTGGGAACCAAGCAATGATTTCTGGAATTGAATGGAAGCATTCATTTACTGGACAATCATTTTTATTCTGTTTTATTCTGTTTTATATCTAGGGGGTACTGAGTCTGTAAGAGATAAAGTAGTTTTAATACTGACACTAATGTTAGACAATGACATTCCCCAAACAAAAGGGTTGAACACAAGCTCAGGCCTTTGGATCATCTCACAGGGTTGCACACCTACCCTGTGTGTAAGCAGATTTTGAAGATTCACCTTTTGAACTTCAAGGTATGAATCAGTGTTACAAACAAGACAGGGAAACAAGCTGCTAGCCCCTCTCTTTGTGTGCAGAGAAGCTTGCAAGTTGTAGAATCAGCTCAATAGGCAGAGTCTGTTGTTCTCTGTCCATTAAAAAAAAAAAAGAATCAGAATAATCACTCAACCAAAAAAAAAAATCAGCTGTGTAAGACAGCAAATATGAATGGCCACCGATGAAACCACCATGATCAACTGCAGAATCATGGTCTGTCTGGGAGAAATTTATTAGAGCATGGAGAATTTCATTGGGGAACTAATGAAGCTGCAGTAGATTTCCCTGCCTTCCCTGCCTGAAGTGTACATGTGACACCCTGTTTAAAGATGACAGAAACCTGCATCTGGGGCCATGAGAAATCTCTGTCATCCATTAGCCTATTCTCTGAGCTAGTGTTGAAATCTTAAGAGACATCTATCAATGTCCTGATCCTTTTATTTGACCATGAACAAGGTTAGTTTGCCCTTTGCTCCATCATAGGAAAGGACTAAGAGTCCAGGTCACCCCGAACAGGAGCTCTTTGGAACAATCTGTGACACACTTTGTGCCTTGTCTCTGCCAAATGTAGTGGTTCTACCAGAGGATACTGTCATACTTTTCACCTTTCAGGACTTGAAAAAAGCCTTGACATAGACCCACGTCCACAATAATCATCTACCTGTCCAAATGTAACCAGAGATCCTAAATATGAGGTATCTTGTCTACCTGGTAAAAGTATGACCACATTCCAAAATCTATGCTATTTCTGGGTTTAAACCATTCTGATTTGGCAAAACTAAAATCAAGGGTGCCAGTTATGTTCAGAGGTCTTCTGAGGGTTGTTTCTATCTCAGTCCATCAGTCAAGCACTATGATTTCCAGAATCATAGTTCACATACTTATTTATTTATTTAATATTTATTGAGCAATTACTGTGGGCTAACTGGGGTACTATTTAGTGTCTGAACATTTAACAATGAACAAATAAAATCCTTGCCCTCGTGATGCTCAGTTGATGAAACAGTATGTAACTAAGTACGAAACAGTGGTTGTGGCCAATATAGAATTAATATATATATTACATTTTCATAAATATATATAATCCACATATTACATGTTATCTTTTGCAGCCAAATATTTGCTGCAGTTTATTATTTCTCAAGAATGTAATACATACTATTTAGTATAGCCCTTGCTATAATTTTTTTGCTCTTGTATAGTGGGGTTATTCTGTGAGCTTCTAGAGAGTTGCTTTCTACCTTCCTTTCAACCCCCCTCCTCTTCCTGACTTTCATTTTAGCAGAGGCTACATTCCAGTGACCCTGTTGGCTGAGGCAACTTATTCGATTTATTAAAAACCTTCTCATGCATCCACAAAATGACCAAATAACCTTGGCTTGTTAACAGAGATGCAAACTTGGGATCCAATGCAAGAGATCGAGGCAAAGGCATGAATGCAACAATTGCTTTCTACAACTTCCCAACAAAGCAAATAATACTGAGGTTGCTTCTCATAGACACAGTGGTTCAAAACTATAGCCTCCATGAAATAAAAAAAAATTTTCATAGACGTGTACAGTTTCTTTTTTTCCCTCTATGGGCAAAGGATAGAGCTGTCCATGGAACATTTAATAGATATCAGGGCTGCCTCTCAACAAAAATGTGGTATGGGCAGTTTGTCTTCGGGATCTTTCCTTACTCCTTTTACCATTCCACTCTCCTTCACGTTGATTCTCACATGCTGGGTGTTCCCAATTTGTTTGTCCAGCTCATGCTCCCTTATCTGGGAGACTGTCTACAGTTACACAATTTGACCAGTGAAGCTCCATTCAAAACTTAAATCTGTCAAGCATCCATTTTTGCTTGAAATCATGCCCTTTGCTCAGTGACAGCGCAGAAATGGATGGTGGTGTATCAATCAAATAACCAATTTTCTCCCCCAGTTCAACCATTAGAAATCTTTGATTTTAACCCCTTCTAACCCACAAAAAGGCATTTTATGTGATTCAGCATATCTCATGAAGTCCTAACATGGGCACCAGAGTGAAATCAGACAGCCTAAACCCTTGGCCTACTCTGTGGTTAACTGCTGGGTAACTTCCAGTAAATCACTTCATAATGTTAATCCTTAGCTTCCCCATCTGTAAAAAAGAGAATAATATTAACCACCTTGACCTTTTGCTCAGTTGTTGAGAAGGGGCAAATATAGTGATATACATAAACACCATTTCAAAGGGTAAAGGGATAGACTGATGTAAGGGAGAGTTATTTTGGGTTATTTTTCATAACCCATTAACCAATTTAAAATATATAAACGTCTGTAAGGAGTAGAGCTAATAGCAGGAGACTTAGGCCACCTCAGAGATGCCTGCCAACCTATAATGTCAGTTTTATGTCATTGTGCTTCTTTCTTTTTTGGTTCCATATCACTATAATATTCAAAAAATCAAAATCTTATGGGATCATTTTACAATATGTGTCATATGAAATTTTAATTTTGCTATTTATAGTGATAAGGAGAAAAGAAAGAAAGTGTTGTTAGTGGAATATGGATCTCTAACCACTGAAATAAACTGTTAAGTACTCCAAGCAAAAAGAAAGTGTACATATATATACACATATGTATATATATGTATATATATATTCTGATCAGTGATTTATATATATTAAAATATATTAGAATATATGTAACCAGTTGGCATGAAGGTTGTATAAAAATTTTGATTTTTGTTCAAGAATTGTAGAGTATGGAAAATTTTCATGCATTCATTCTGTTCTTTGGGAAGAGATTCTTGGGGAGAATTGGATCTATGCAAGAGTTTCCTGCCCTGCCCTGGGTCAGTTCATTCCTAGTTGCATGGGGAGTCTAGAAATAAGCTAAAGCTGCCTAGAACAGTTTAAGAGTATACACATGTTTTTTTTTCTCCCCCCTGAGGAGGGACCTATAGGTTTCATCAGATTTCTAAAGACAGCCTTATCCCACAAAAGGTTAAGAATCAAGTATATGATGCGAAGGAAACAGTTTAGGAAAACCCATTCAAAATATGTATTTTTATAGGACCTGTTTAATTGTTAAACTCATCAATGCTTCACAGTTTTTTAATCTTGAAAGGCCTGGAAAATGAGGAGCTTAAAAAATTAACACAAAACCAAAATTTAGAGGTAAACTTTTGCTTTCAGGTCCTAAGAATAAACTGTTTGAAAATACATGCTTTCAGGATATTGCTTCTCCAATCTACCTATAATTGCAATATTTTGCCACTTCCTTTCCTTTTCTTTTTGTGTGTGTGGGGAGGGCCTGGCTTAAACTCCATGTTTTTACAGAATGACCAAAAATATCGGTGACGATGGGGGTGGTGATGACAACACGTTCAACTTCAGCTGGAAGGTATTCACCAGCTGGGACTATCTGATTGGCAATCCAGAAACAGCAGACAACAAATTCAATTCCATCACCATGAACTTTAAGGTAAAAATATCAACTTCAGGAGCTGTGCCTTTGGGTTTCTAAGAGTGAAATGGGAGCCATTCCATATGGTTCAGCTAGTGAAATATCCTGACAATTAAAGGAAAGATGAACTCATCATTTCTGCCTACCGGGATCCGGGCAGGGTTCTGATTGAGATTGGAAAATATCTGATGACCCATGACAGCACCATTTCTTCTCTAAATTTGGTAATAAAAATAATGCCATTGGCTTGAAACAGGAGACCATTAGTAATCAGATTCAGATAGTCTAAATAATAGAACAATGCTTACTAATTATTTACAGGAATAAGCTAGCTCAATATTTAAAATGACTCTTAAGTATTATTTTGTAGCTTCAAAAAAAAAAAAAAAAAAGCTGTACCAGAAGAGAATTTAGAAAGAAGATTGTCCTAGTATTAGATCAATCAGAGGTTGTGAGAATACTCCTTCTTTCTCTCACTTGTTCTCACTAGCTGGTGACATCCTCCTGGCTTGTGGAGTTCCAGATATAGTGTACATTTTCATTCCTTATTCGATGTTTGCAAAAATATATTCTGAGTGGATGATACTTTTTTGTAGCTCAGATACATTTTTTTTTTCTGTTTTGCTCGAGTACAGGAAGCTATCATAGAGGAAAGAGCAGCCCAAGTAGAAGAGAACGTGCACTTGATCAGATTCCTGAGGTTTCTTGCTAACTTCTTCGTGTTTCTAACACTTGGCGGGAGTGGATACCTCATCTTTTGGGCTGTGAAGCGATCCCAGGAATTTGCACAGCAAGACCCTGACACCCTTGGGTGGTGGGAAAAGAATGAAGTTCGTCTCTGCATGCTTTTTATGTGCTTAGAACCTGACTTTTGAAATTGCGTGGGTTATGCTTCTATGGCACAACATGAAATAAGGCTGTTCTTTAACTACCTTCCCTATGCTGTCCTGTCGCACATTTTCCACTCTACTCTAGCCTTATTTCCAGATCTGTCTATTATCTGTTTTTCATTTTGTGGAACTCTAACTTTATGGAAAGTTAGAGTTGGAAGAGGTATTAGAACACATATATTCCAACCAGCATGTTTTACAGCTGTCGTTAATGAGCATTAGGAGAGAGGCTGATGTGTTCAGGTCACAGAATCATGGAGAAGAGTGAGTTGAAACCTCGGGATCTTGATTTCAAGGCCAACACTCCTTCCCTGACTCTATGTTTCTTTCTCTTTAGACTCTGCATCTATCACTGAAAGATCCAGTTGATGCCTGAATTCTTTGAAGCAGCAATGATAGAGTCCTTGGCTTCTATGTTTATCTCACTGGAAACATTCAGATTGCCTCCTCCACTTTCAGCAACTCTGGGACTCTCTCTGCTTCTCCTTAGCAGCCTCGCTGCACATTTTCCACCTTCTTCTCCCCTTGCCTTATTTCCTCTCCCTCCAAGGGATATTCAAATGAAGAAGGCCTGCTCTTTGCCCAGAATTAAATCTGATTGTGATTTGTCTTCAGGATATGTGCCCATTTAGCAGGTCAGAGGAACGAGGTCAGATATTTAGAATGAGGAAATTTAGATATTTATAATAAGGAAATCATTATGTGTTGTTGCTAGGGCCTGTTCCCTTTCATAAAATGTTCTGGCATACATGTAGCATCATTTTCAACTAGGCATTTTCAAAGTATGTATAGATTTAGGCTGTGGGAAGTGTAGATTTCCCACACTGAAACTTCTGCAGAGCCTTGTAGACCAAAAAGATTAAGAAAATCCTTATAAGCATAGAATTTTCTAGAAGTATATTGGGCAAACTATAATATAACCTCTTTACAACAAAAGGCTCAAAATGGAAATGTTCTAGGTATTTCAGAAGTGGTAATATGGAGATGAGAGACCATACATTTAAGAGATTATAACAGCACAGTCATTTTATGGAAACCTATATAAAGTCATTAGGTAGAGTGATTTCCTTTATTTAAAACAGAGGAGAACCTCAAAGCATTTATCAAGTTTGTTTTCAAAGTTTCTTCTTATAGTTGTGATAGTTGCTATTATAGACAAAATTATCCTGCCACTTTGGTCCGTGGTTCATAGCGATCATATTTTTGTATGAGTGAGCCATAGTAAAGGGTAGGTAGTTGAGCTTCATTAGGTAGAAGGATCATTTTATGTAAGAGTCTGTTTAATACCCATTTTAGGAGACTCTGAGTCCTAAAGGCCAACAAAGGTAATAATGGGGATTCATGAATAACTTTATACCTTTGATGAAACAGAATTTAAATTTACCTTATAAAAGATTGCACAGGATCTGCCAAGTTTTTACATTAGGCTGAAATTGTATCATGCTGATTTTATGTTATGCCGGCTGATTTTCAGGCCATCTTGGTCATGTTCATATAATGTTCTTAGTAAAAATGGGACAGACCATATTGACAATTATTTTCTCAATACATTCCAGTAGTTGTAATCATTCAAAACATGGAATCAAGAAATGACAATAGGAATGGCTTAGTGGTACAGTTTGAACCAGATATTTAGGAAAGGCCCTTGCCAAGGCTACCCAAAATCTTTTTTAAGGAGGCTTTTTCACCATCACACAAATAGTACATGCGCTGGATTCTTTTCCCTGATTTAATTTAGCTTAATATTATAGATATAAAGATGTCAGACAGGAGATAAAGACGCATATTTGCTACTTTTTGTATTTTTTCTCTCCGCTCTCCCTCAACACATTGACATTATAAAACAGTTCTTCATTCCTAGAACTTTCCTACCTTGGCTTTGATAACATCATCCTTTGTCTACTTTTGTTTCTCTGAATGTCCTGTTTTCTTTGATAAACGATTGTTTTGTTTTTTGTTTCTTGTCCCCCCCCCTTAATTGGGTGTATTCCCCAGAATTAGGCCTGAGCCCATCTCGGGGCACTCATTTATTCCAACTGATTGAACCAGCCCATATGCTAGTAATTGTCAAATTAGTGTTTCCAGTTTGGACCTCATTCTTCAAGCAGATAATTTTCCCTTTCCTTTGGAAATCTTGTTGCAAAGTGTATCACCATGTCGGAATCAGTTCCTATGTAGAATAGTATGTGTTCTCTGAATAGAGAGTGATAGAAATTACCTCTCTTATATACTAGAAAATAAATTGTTATTACTGACACATACAGAAGTTCATACACAAGCACACCTTGGGAATGGGAGTTGAATATTTTCTTTTGTTGTTTTATTAAAATCAAATTTTAGAAGTATGTGAGATACTCTTCTTTAGTCTTACAAAAGATCAAGGAAACCTAGCTGCAATCTTGCAAAGTTCTGGAAGAAAGCAATTATTTTTCAGATACCATTAACTTAGTTAATACCTTGTATCTCCTTGTAGATGAACATGGTCATGTCCCTCCTGGGGATGTTCTGTCCAACACTTTTTGATTTATTTGCTGAATTGGAAGACTACCATCCCCTCATCGCTCTGAAATGGTTACTGGGACGCATTTTTGCTCTGCTTTTGGGCAACTTATATGTATTTATTCTTGCCTTGATGGATGAGATTAACAACAAGGTAAGTATTATATCTGGATTGTTCTTGGCATCCATGTGCTGTTACATTCCCAGTCTCCAGGTTGCTAGAAACGCCTGTGAAATCTGTGATGTCTCCATCTTTGTTTCCATCACTTTGCATTCTAGATTGAAGAGGAAAAACTGGTAAAGGCCAATATTACCCTCTGGGAAGCCAACATGATCAAGGCCTATAATGCATCACTTACTGGAAATACCACTGGACCACCTTTTTTTGTGCATCCTGCAGATGTGCCTCGAGGACCCTGCTGGGAAACCATGGTGGGACAGGTAATATCACAGACAGAAGTGTACGGCAATTAATGGATTCAAAAAGAGTAGAATCAATGATTTCTTCCATACATGTGGCCTATTTTTTATTGCTTAATAAAAAAAACAAAACTCTAAGATTTATTGAAGATTTACCAGGTGCTGGTTGTGAATTTCATATATATTATCTCACGTGGTCCTCATTCCATCTATTGAGGTAACTACTACTTTTATACCTTTTTTACAGTTGTGTTTAAAGAGAGGATATTTTTAAATGGTGTGAGGAGAGCTTTATCTTCTATTTGTGTTATAATAAAGCACCTAGATTTAGATACAGGCTCCAGTGAATATTTAAATGGAACTCCACCTATTATTACCAGTTTTCATTAAAAAAAAATAGGTTCTCAAAAAAAATAGGTTCTCTTGGGAGCACACACTAATACTAATTTCAACAATGTCAATTTTTGTCAAATAACTGTCCCTTAAGTGTTAAAGGAAATACTATTTTAGGTTAGTTGTTTTCATGATGATTATGTAAATGGCCCCAGTCCAAGACTACTGGTGTTTTACCAGAGAAAAGAGGTAATGTTTCGTATGGCTTTCTGCCCAACAAGGGGAACCAAATTAAGCAAAAACAATAGCAATAAGCTATTTCATGTCTCCTATCTCCAACCATATACAAATTTTACTTTAGAAAACCTTTAATTTTATCTCATTAGAACTGACATTGCTAACGTGCATTTCATAAACTGATTTTGGACTTTGGTTCATTGATGATGAATAGATAGTTTTAAATATGTCATCATGCATCTGCCTGCCTATTGGGCAATATAGTTCAGTTTCAGCAGAAATGTGGTACTGTGGAATTATTTGAATAATTTTTTGCTGTGTACTTATTACTTATTTTTTGTAATCTAAAAGGAAAAATTGAAAGTATTAGTTTTGTAAAATGGATGTAACTTAAACAATTGTAGATATCATTAGATGCCCTCATGCTCGATTAGATGCTCACCAGACTTAAGCCAATCAATTGTGATTTTAATTGTGGAAAAAGAATAAGAAAAATGTATGTGATGCTAGATACACATCATTGAAGACTGTGTCCAAAATGTGTGGTATGATTAAGGATTTTATTTCACTTTATTTTTAAGCTATCAGGGGTCAGATAAGCTCCTGTATTTCCAGTTACATATTATTAAACACTCAATTTTCAGACATGCACATTCCATACATGTTCATAGAACATACTATATATGAAATAATAAATGAAATATGATATGATATGATATGATATGATATGATGAATGATATGATATGAAGGCTGCCTTTACTTAGGAGAGAGGTGTGCTGATCCAAGGTGTGAGTAGATGGGGTAATGGCCCTTCAAAGATGTCCATGTCCTAATCCTTGGAATCTCTCTGACTATGTTACCTTACATGGTAAAATGGTCTTTGCTGATGTGATTAAGTGAAGGGTTTTGGACAAGGAAAATTATCCTCAATTATGTGGATGGACATAATGAAATCACAAGTAGGGACAAAACAGTCAAAGTCAGAAAAACTAGCTGAGACAGTGGAACCAGTTTGGAGAGATATGCTTTTTAGATGGATAAGAAGGGGCTGTGAGCCCAGGAGTGCAGGCAACCTCCATAAGCTCGAAAAGGTGGGGACACAGATTCCTCCCTGATGCCTACACCTTAATTTTAGATTTCTGACCTCCAAAAGTCTAAGAAAATAAATTTATGTTGTCTTAAGCCATGAAGTTTGTGGTAGTTTTTTTGGTTTTCAGGATTTTTTTAGATTTTATTTATTTTAGACAGAGAGAGCATGAGTATGAGCAGAGGAAGGAGCAGAAGGGAGAGGGAGAAGTAGACTCCCGCTGATCAGGGAGCCTAATGCAGGACTCCATCCCAGGACCCTGAGATCATGACCTGAGCAGAAGGCAGATGCTTAACTGACTGAACCACCCAGATGCCCTGTGGTAATTTGTTATAACAGCAACAGGAAATGAATACACCAGAGTACATAGTGTTCTTCTGGGTTTCAAGCATCCCTGAAGTGATGTCTGGTCATGGTGCTTTCTACAACTTATCACATCTAGGCTACTCCTTGAGTCTTCAGCTTAACTTGAAAGAAATGAAAAACTAGGGAAAAAAAGTTTTTTTCAAAAATTCAAAAAAGTTTGAGATGTTCTCTTCTATATATCCTAGAATGCAGACTGGCAGGTGGGCTAAGAAATCTTCAGCAATCTTGATAGAGAAGACTATAAAGAGTAAAATTGAGGCTGCTACTTCTGAGGAAAAGGAAGTGATTTATTAGATAAGAATGCCAATGCAATCCAGGAGGATAGTTATGTCTTGTCTCCAATTACGCAGAAGCTTCTGTGTTGGTCTGGCATATACAGATTTAAAATAAAAGGAAGGTCACTTATTTGATTCTTCTTGGGATTTTGCTGTTTGTCTTGTCCTTTAAAGAAAATCCCATCTTCAGTGCTTTTACTTGCTTCATCATCTTTCTTCACTGCCCCCCACCCCTGTCTGTTTCATCTCCCTTTCCCTGAAGGAGCATTCAATACTTGTGGGAAAGTCTGCAGGAGCTGGCCCAGAGGTGTGGTTTTGAACAGAATGTTGATGAGGGAGTTGTAGAGTCCATGGGGACGAAGTATCCTGAGTACTGGAAAGTCTGGTCTTTAAGAAATCAATATCTATATCCATCACCTAGAAACATTTCATCTAACCATTTAAAAAAAAAAACTGACTCCAAGGGTACATGCGTGGCTCAGTCAGTTAAGCATTCAACTCTTGATTTCAGCTCAGGTCATGACCTCAGGGTCGCCAGATCAAGCTCCGAGTCTTTCTCTGTGCTCAGGCAGAGTCTGCTTGAGATTCTCTCTCTCACCCTCTGCCCGTCCCCCAACTCATATATGCTATCTCTTTCAAATAAATAAAACCTTAAAAAAAAAAGTGACTCTAGGAGAAACAGTAAAGGCATTTGCTTTGCATGTAATGTTGGAGAAATTACACTCATTCATTGTTCCCTAAGAATATTCCAGAAGTTTCCTTTACTCCTCCATGGATGCCCTCTGCTTTGTGTCTTCAAGGATGATTCAAACCTCTCCGTCTGAATATAAGATAATTTGGCAGTTCCTTTATCCCTCTATAGAACCTCAAGATGTAGCCCCTTAGTCCCATCTCCGATGGCATTTGAGAGGTAGGCAGGGAAGCCACCCTTGGGAGATTGCTATATAAACCTATATACTGAGGTGTGTATTATGGGGAAGGAGAAAGCAGCCAACAACTGAACAGAACAACAATGGCTAACATTTATTGGATGCCTATAAAGTGCCCGGTGCTGTTTCCTTGAATTTTTAAATTACTCTTTGAGATAAGTTATATTACTATCTTTGTTTTTCTGGATGAGGGGGCTGTGACCTAAAAAGCTAAAATAATTTGCTCAGCTTTTAAAGGAAGTCGGTGGCAGGAGCCCAAATTTAACCCACATAGTCTGATTAGAGTTTGCATCCTGGTCTATAGTGCTGAATTGTTTTTAGAAACATAATGAGCATTAGCACATACTCTCCAAATTCCTGCCATGGAACATCTAGAGTCTGGTGGTCCTTTGTGATGCCCCTTGACTGTCATGTTCTTCTTTCCTGCTAATGACTCTTAGGTTTACTGATCAAAGTTGCCAAGACACTTTAACTAACTGCCATGAATAGGAAGCTCTGAGGTGTGGGGTGTGGTGCTCAACAGGAGACCTGTGTGGAGACTATGCTTTCATCCTGACTAGCCTGCTAGGGATTTGTATTGGTGCCCCTGAGGTGGCCTGGGCCACTTTTTGGGGGATTCTCTTTCCTATAAATCATTGTATTCTTTCTATGATTTTGTGAATAAATCTTATGTTTTGGTATAATGCTTGAATCCTTTTCTGGCATTTTATATGACAGAACACTGCTTGAAAAAAAAAAGGATTTCAACCAGTGGGATGAAGAAGTTTAGGAAGATGTGGAGGACTTTAAAATGGCTCTGAAATTTTCTCTTACCTGTAAAAGTCCTCATGACATGGTGATGGAAGCCAAAAAATATCCCTCATCGCCTACCTCTAATTGATACTAGTTATTAGAATCTGAACTCAAATTGCCTGGGGAATGAAAAAAAACAAGAATAGGAAGAGAAAAATTATAGCCAGAAATAACTGCAGGAGTTTGCTCTCATTCAATCATTTATTCCATATTTACCGAGTGCAAGCCGAGAGCCAGGTGGCATGCTGGATACTAGAGGTACAGGGGGCCCAAAGGTGGACTGGTTCCCTCACGTTTGTGAAACCTTCAATTTTTTGAAGAGAGGAGGGGAACAAAGCCATTAATTAATTATGCAAAATTTGCAAATTTATAATGATAACAAAGTACTACAAGAATGATATGGATGGAATCTGAGAATTTTTTAGGGAAGCTCACCCTTGTCAGTGAGGTGAGGAAGACTTTCCTAAGTCAGTGGTGTGTATTCATTGGCATAAACTGAGTCAAGAGGTGAAGTTACAATGATTCAGTGGAGTGAAGTCCCATGCAAAGGCCCTATGACCAGAAGTATGGAAGATGAGGATCTGAATGAAATCCAATGGGCCTGGAGTGAGAAAGAGGGATGAACAATACTAGAGGAATAGGGGGAGCTAGACAGGAGTCCGATTGTATAGAAGCTTTCAGATTATGCAGGAACGTTACACTCTCTTGGCCCACCTTTTACTCCATCTGTTCTGTAGCAAGCCACTGCAAGCAGCTGTTACCTGACAGCATCTCAGCTGAGCTGTATGCATACTCCCCATCAGACCTTCAAAGTTTCTCTGTTGTCATCAAGTAGGGGTGTTAATACACTTGGGGACATCCTTGACTAATGGGAATGGTTCCTGATGGGTCGATATGTCCCTCTTCTCTCACCAGCATGGACAATTCTGAGGCTTATTCTATACAGCTTCTCGATTTCCAGGTGGGTCCCAGAAGAAGACTCACTTGCTCCTGCACTGACAGATTTTAATAAGCTCTTGGGCAAAAGCTTTCCTTCCTTCTGTTTCATTCTTCCCAACCTCCTCTCCCTTTCTTTGACACCACTTCCCAAAATATACTGCCAGCTTATAAGCCCTTGTCACAGGCATTACTATTGGCAAAAATTAATATTAAGTTTTAAAATTTGTATTTTTAAGGTTTTAATATAATATTTTTTGTTTGGGTTATATTTATGTTTTAGTTACCTACTATTTATGACAGATTATAATAGTAACAGTTATCTTTTAAGAATAAGGTATGTTAAAGTTAAAATAAATATGAGATAAATTATATTTCATACGGTACTTGGACAGATCAAGAATCATGGAGGTGTACTAAAAAAGAAAAAAAGAACCATGGAGGTGGTAGACAATGATCTGGTGTTTAGGAAGTGTTGCTCTTAAGTATGAGGCTGGAAATCAACCTAATGACTGCTAGTCAAATGGCCCTTTGCCCCATTAGAAAATTTTTTTAATTTATTTTAGTTATTTTGGAGGGGGGATTATATAGGTAGCTCAAAATAGAGACCAAAAGACTTCAGAAATTATAGAAGAACACTAGTATTTCTGGCAAAAAAAATTTATTATTAGATATTCAGTGTCTGTAATCTTAGGACATAAATTATTGAGAAGGAAAAGAAAAGGAAAAGCAGAGGATCATAATGAACATTTATAATTGTGTGTCTATTCCTATATTTATAACTTATTGTCATAGGGGTTCCACAAGGAAATAGTGAACTGTCCCTCTAATCCACAGAACATACCCTTTTGCACATAAATTTAAGTCCACACCACTGAGGTAACCAGTTTATAGTTTTCCAGAACTTTCTATGCATATATGTATACATATATGCCTATATATATATATATATAATATATATATGAGTTTTTTGTCAATAAATGAGTTCATACACATATCCTATTTTGTAAATTTTAAAAAATCCATTTCTCATCAGAGCATAGCATTTTAGGACTTTTTAAAGTTTACTGAGGTATGATTCACATACCACACATTCCACCCATTTAAAATATATAACTCAAGGGTTTCTAGTGTATGTTCCTATTTTTCAACATTTTAATTGACTGTATATTTCCTTCTGAAAATTTCATATTTGTGCCATTTACCACTTTCTTTCCTTATTGGATTGCCCATCTATTGTCAGACTGATTACAAACATCTTTAGTGTATTAGGAAAACTAATCCTGTGTCACGTATGCCGTTTCTCAAAGTTCATCTTTTTAACTTTATAAATATTGCTTTTTGCCAGATTAAAGCTTTAAACTTACGTGTGGTCAATATATTCCTGGTTTTGTTTCTCGTGTCATGCCTATAAAAGCTTCTCGGTAAGGAGACTTTTGATACAGTGGTTTTGGAAGTAGAGATAATTACTTTTAGACTAATAAAATAAGAGTGAAACATTCTTCACTTGCTAGATGTGCCTAACTATGTTTTTTAACTATTACTTGCTGTTTCTAAGCTAATACTATGCAGAGGCATAACAAACCTGGTCTCAATGCTATGGTCATTTGAAGGGAGAAATGCTCACTTTAATCTGGATAATATCTTGACAGGAATTTGTGCGACTGACTGTTTCTGATGTTCTGACCACTTATGTCACGATCCTCATTGGGGATTTTCTCCGGGCATGTTTTGTGAGGTTTTGCAATTATTGCTGGTGCTGGGATTTGGAATATGGATATGTAAGTATAATACTCATTTTTCTCTTGTCAGATTATCCCTTTGTGGTTTATCATTTGTACACCCTATGCCAGAAGAAAAAATTAGGAGGTGGGAGCACCTGTTAAATGTTAATAAATGAAGACCAGGTGTCAGACTTGAGCATCACAGTTTATGATTTTCTAGTAAAGTGAATTAAAGCAGTGGACCTCAACTTGTCCACGAATATGGTGAACTCTGTCAAGCTGGGACCCATAGCCAGCCCCCTCCACATGAAGCTTGCTGACACTTCTAGAAGCTGGGCAAGATGGGTAGTATCAACTGCACACTCTATGAATTCCTTTGAATTCTACTAAACAGACTCCCAGACAGTTAACTGTGCAGTGCATTGGGCAATAAATGGATCCAGTAAATAGGGTGCTTGTTTCATAGAGCTCACAGGCTGAGAAGAGCTCAATGGAGAGACAATCAGGGAGCTGTGGAAGTTTTGAGGAAGGCCCAGGGTGCTGAAAGGTGGACCTGAACTTGAGCAAGTTGACTTCCTTTCCCACAGCAAGGACACAGGTTTTTCTGAACCACACTGGCGTTGATTTCATACCCAGTTCAGCCTCTGTGCACAACCTCTGTTCCCTCCCCTACCCCACAAAGTTCAAGTGAGACAACAGAACACATATCACTCTTCAGTCTCCCCCATTCCCAGGTGATCACTGTCCTTCTTTTGCATCACTAACAGTCATCGTGGGAACTAGGACCTGAAGGGTGGACTGTAATCTTTTGCTTAAAATCCTCCAATGGCTTATAAGTACTTAGAATGAATCCCAAATCCCCTTCTAAGGCCTTATAGGATCTGGAGGTTTTTTGTTTTTTGTTTTTCCTTTCTTTCTTTCTGAGCTCATCATCTACCACTGTTGCTTTTGTTCTTGCTTTGTGAAGTCCATAAACGTTGGAACTCTTTCTTATGCTCAAACACAAGACGATCCTTGCATCTGTTCTAGCTGGTATTCCGTGTAGGGGTGCAGATTCCTAGAATTGGGCTTGGCTGATGCCTTCTCATCAAGGACTCAGCTAAATATGTCACCTCCTTCGAGCTCTGTTCCATCCTTACCATCTAATGTAGCCTACCAGACTCTCCCTTCAATGCCCTGCTTTATTTTCTTCATATGGTGTATAACTATCTGACATTTTCTTTTAAAGATGTGCTTAAAATCTATCTCCCTTCCCTCTGTTGGAATGAAAGTACTATGCAAACAGAAGCCTTGACCTCCATGCTGACAACTATGCTCGTCACATGGCAGGCATTATCTGTTGACCGTCTGCTTCAGTGGTAAACCCATCCCCATGCCCTCTAAGTCTCTGGGCAGGTCCTATGCTCAGAAATGTTTTCAAGACACTGGGCTGGATCCTCAGCATGGCTATCTGACTTTGAGATTGTACCTTTAATTAGGTCATCTCTGTCATCCTCACTGAAAGTGCCCGTGGGATGAGCCAAAAGTGGTTAGGTAATGCTCTTTGGTGAGCGCCCGTGAGGTAATGCTATGGATCCAGGATGTTATTGTGCCTTCCCATTCCCTGCTATGAGGTATGCAGTTGGCTTGGTTTCATTTCTATTTTCCTTGTCTGATTCAGCTCTTCTGAGGCAGACATAAAAATTGCCATATCTTTCTTAGGCTATTGCCTGGCTTATGCTTGCCTTTTATCCCTTACTGCTTTCTTCCTAAGTGCTAGAGAATTTTGCTTCAAATATGGAGTCAATAAAACATGACCTGGATGCATAAAAGCTGTAATTAAATGACTGTAATTTATTATTTATTGAGTGCTGACAGTGCTCTTGGGTTAGTACAAAGTACAGGAAAATAGACAAGTTCTTGTTTTAGGTCACAGAGAATTTTCTTCCATGTGACTTTTGGAAGGCTCCTCAGAAAGAAACACAGCATCAAAAACAAATTTTGAACAGTAAAGGGTAGGTGGTGCATCTTTGATGCTGATCCTATTATCATTGGCCCATCAGTTAGAGAGCTGACACAGTTGAGTACCTACTAGGTGTGAATCAGTGTGAGCAAACCTCTGTGCCAGGTGATAAGGGGATTCAGAGATGTAAAAGATGTAAGCTTAAGGAGATGTTGCAAACTTGGGCTCACTGTCTAGATTCAGCATGTATTTTCTTTGTCTGCAAAGTGTTTTCATTTGTTTGTTTTGGTTTTTTTAATAAGCTCCTATTTTAAAACTGGAAGTTTTACATTTTAAAAAATATGGATTTCTTGCTTTTCTTGACATATTGGAAGGGCTGGCAACATTCAATCCATATCCCCACCTGGGAGTGATTGGCTGGAGTGAGAATCCACTGCCCTGTACAGATGGAATATTCATCCACTAATTCCTCACACTCTTTACAACCATTTAATCCTGTAAGCTCTCTCCTTATCAATGAAGAGCAGAAAATGTAAATGCTGTAGGAGGAACCAGCACTACATGACTTTGGGGGTGGAGGGAGGGAGGGAAGATGAGAGGGAGAAAGTGATAGAGAGAAAGACAGAGACAGATCAGAAATGCAAAGACTCAAAAACATGCTAGAGGAAGAGGCACTTGAGCTAGTCTCGGGGAAAGGAACAGAATTTCAAAGATCCAGTGGAAGCAAGGATTCTCAGTGGAGGGACCAATGTAAGATGGGGCCCAGCAGGTGCAAAGTATGGGCAGTGCAGGCAGAGTTGCAGAAATCTCAGCTGGGGCTGTCATAGAGGGTAAGAGGCTGATGAGAATGTTTCTCTAATATTCTCCTGGATACCCTAATTGAAAATATATCCATAGAGTACCTGTCATGAAGTAAAGAAGACAGAGAAGATACTTTTGAGATGTCTTTCAAGAATCAAAGAGAAAGATGTGTGCATTTCCACACCCCCAAAAAATTCTTTTTGAGTTCCAAAAATAATAGTGGTTCATTATAGAAAATCTAGAAAATCTAGTGTAAGCTAAACATGGAAATAAAAATCACAGGCAATCTCACCATTAAGTAAGCATTACTTATTTGGATTACTTGAGTCATAGAATATTAGTGTTTATTTATATGTAAATAATAAAGTACTATGGATTTTTATAATATACATATTTTTATAAATTTTTTATTAAAAAGTATATATATTTAATAGCTGGTTACCTAATTTTTTTCCTCTGTGACCATTTCCCTATGTTAACTATTCATTTATGATAGTTTTATTTATTTATTTTTAATTTTTTTAACTTTTTATTTATTTATGATAGTCACAGAGATAGAGAGAGGCAAGGCAGAGACACAGGCAGAGGGAGAAGCAGGCTCAGGCTCCATGCACCGGGAGCCCGACGTGGGATTCGATCCCGGGTCTCCAGGATCGCGCCCTGGGCCAAAGGCAGGCGCTAAACCGCTGCGCCACCCAGGGTTCCCCATTTATGATAGTTTTAAATGACTGTGCGATATTCTATAAATGAACAAACTATAATTATTTAATTTTTATTGGCTATCAGTAAAACATCTAATTTTTAATTATTATAATAAATGTTGCACTTACATTTATTTATATGCACATGGTTGAATATCTTCACAGATAAGTTACAGTATGCACAGATAATTTCCTTTTTTAAAATAAAGATTTTATTTATTTATTTGAGAGAGAGAACACAAGCAGGGGGAGCAGCAGAGGGAGAGGGAGAAGCAGACTTCCTACTGAGCAGAGTCTGATGTAGTGCTCGATCCCAGGACCCTGAGATCATGACCTGAACTGAAGGCAGATGCTTAGCGGACTGAGCCACCCAGACACCCCCACAGATTATTTCCTTATGAGAAATTTCTCTAAGTTGAATTACTCAGTCCCAGAGAACATACCTTTAAAATAAAATCCATTCACTTTTATTACAACAGCTTCTGTAAAAACTAAATTTTGCCGACTCTGGCATCAGAGTTCAGTGGAATTTTGACATAATCAAGCATACATCCTTTATTTCACATCTGAAAAATTGAAGGCTTGTGTTTTGAAGTGGGCTGCTTCAGTTTGTGTAGCCAGGGACTAAACAAGGGAAATGAAGTATTTTTCTGGACACAGCCATTATGTTAAAAATGCTGAATTATATACAGATTGTATTAGAGTAAATTATATTAGAAGTGACCCTATATATTTTTGCAGTTATAAATTTATGGCTAAAGTATTATCATAATAAACCTATAAAGATGGATAAACCTCCTGATGGCTAGGAGCAGGCTGTTAGACCATGTAATGTAAGTTAATCTTTCCTAAGGCTTCTCCAAGCATAGCAGACAGTTCTCAATGTTTCTTAAATGTTCACTGACTCATAGAAAGTGGAATCGTTGCTCCCAGGAGGAATTTTAAGCACCCAGATTCAGCATGACTGTCCTAAAACCTCTTGGAAACTCCGGGTTTCCTGCAGTAGCTAGCTCAACACAGAATGTCTTAACTTTCAGCTTAATTGTGTTGTTACTGTCTTTGCCATTTATTAATAAAATAAGTAGCAGGGGCTCTTGGGTGGCTCAGTTGGGTAAGCATCTGCCTTTGACTCAGGTCATGATCTGGGGGCCCTGAGATGGAGCCCCACATTGGGCTTCCTGTTCAGCAGGGAGCTTGCCTGTCTCTCTCTCTCTCTCTCTCTCTCTCTCTCTCCTCCTTTCCCTGCTCATGCTCTCTGTCTCTTTCTCTCAAACAAACAAATAAAATCATGAAAAAAAAATTAAAAATAGGTAACAGATATCTAAGAAGAAATAGAATTGAGTACATAGCATGGGGTAGAATATGTTGAAACAAATTAAAACCTCACCATCTTATTTTAAAGTTATATTTTTGAGGTGGTCTTTTTAAGATTTATATAAATGGAAAATAGAAGAGATTTCCCTGAGATCTGATGAAAGGGTTCAAGATTATCCCTAAACAAGAGCCCTATGACTAACAGACCATAAGACTAGATTCTATGTTATATTATATTGTATACTTTCATGTAGTATTTATTATATGTGAGAACTTCTACAAAATACTTTGCATATATTATTCCATCTAGTCATAGCAGCAACACTATGAGGTAGATTTTTTCCTACCTTACAGGCTTAAGCGATGTTTAATAATTTGCTTAAAGACAGATAGCTGGTCAGTGGTGGAGATAGGACTCACACTCCTATCTAATCGACTTCAAAGCTATAAACCAGATTTCAGTCATGTTGAATTTTCACCGTTAACGCTTAACCCTAGAAATTTCAAGGACTCTGTCAAATCATGATTCATGAGCCAATATGTGGCATTTGTAACTCAAAGCACTCCCAAGATTAGACAGGTCACTTGCAATAATGGAGTTACAGGAGGGATTGTGATAGAGAAATAGAAATAAATAGGTGTTCTCTGGCTGCGAATGAGACATTATTTAGCAGTCCAGGATGATGTCATGCTAAAGGGTCAGTAGGAAATCTTGAGTATCTCATGAAGGGTTGACTGCATGAGGAAGGGGACAGCACAGTCTGGATTTGAAATTCCACTTGAATATTGGTTGGAGTCTGTCTGCAGCAACAAGGGGTGGGTCATCCTAGTAGATGAGGCTAGGACTTGTCCTAGATCAGTAGGTCTCAAATTTGAGGGTATACCAGAATCCCCCAAAGGCATGTGAAAACACAATGTTTCTGATTCCACCAAAGCTGGGACAGGTTCTGGAGAATTTACTTTCCTAACTAGTTCCCAGGTGGTGCTGCTGCTTTTGGTCTGGGGACCATGCATAAGAACCATTGATCCAGAGTGATTTTAGGTGTGAGAAGTGAGATTCGTACATCAGACAGGATGTTGTAATGATAGAATTCTCTCTGAGATATTTCATGATAGCCACAGGTAAATGATCTTTCTCAAATGATGAAACTTACAGAGAGGATGGGTTTTCCTAGGCACTTCAGTCCAATGCCAACCATCTGTCTTCCCTATGGATAGATGACTGACTCTCACCCACCACAAGATCCAGAAATAAAATAAGATAATTTTCAATCCCTTGATTATTATAAAGTTATTATAGACCTCAGCCTAAATCCAAATGAGATCTTCTTTGGCTGGGGCCTAAATAGCTTATTAGGGATGAGCGACCCTTAGTGACTTTGTTATAAGCATCTCATTTGAATAATTTCATTTCTCAGGTTTCAAGAAAACCTATTTCTCCCCAAGCCTCATTTACCTTTAAGCTTTTTATGTTTTAGAGGCTATTAAGCAAACATATTACAAAATGATTTACACTTGTATTACTAAAGCATCGCTTTTAAAACTTTAAAATGCAATATAATCTCATGTTTTTATTAAATCCAACTCTAAAAGAAGGAGCATTGAATTTGTGTGTGTGTGTGTGTGTGTGTGTGTGTGTCTGTGTTTGCCTTTCTACTTTCGTTTGATGTTTAGAGTGAGATTTTCTGAGTTTAACTCATACAGCGTTCAGTTCCATTTCTAAAGTGTTTACAGAGAAGCAATTCTTTAATAACTGGGTCTGATTTTTCAACCAATTACAGATCTCAGATTAGAAAAGCATCTTAGAAATGATCTAGTTCAGAAGTTGCCAGACTTTCTCTGTAAAGGGCTGGGTAGTAAGCAGTTTCACTTCTGCAGGTGTGATATTATGATATAACAAGAAATATATATTTTGGTCTCTTATTTCCAGCTCCTGGCCAGCACTTCTAAACCTTTTTCTAATTCTCTGAGCAATATAGGTGCTAGGATCATATTTTGTTACAATATTTGGTCTTTGACCCTGGTTCCTGATGCAGAGCCCCTACATTCCTTGGGTTTTCCTGGGTGATAGGAACATTGCTTACTCTAATGAGGCAATGCCTGGTGACTCCTGGGTAGCGTCAGGATGGGGGATGGTCACCAAAAAGAGCAGGCTGTTATTAGAAGCTTGAAACTTTCAGCCCCATCCTCTGGGGAGGGAAGAGGGGCTAGAGAATGAGTTAATAATTGATTATGCTTACTGAAGAAGTCTCCATAAAACTCCCTGACCTATGGGGTTTGGAGAGCAGTCTTGGGGAACCGAGTCCTTAGCCTGTAGAGTCTGCTCTTACTCTGGACAGTCAGTATCAGAACAGAGTTAAGCAGTAGGGCATCCAGCTTAGGTCCACAGGTAACTTGGGCATTGTTTGGTATGGAGGTTGAAACCCACACATCTGTGTCAGAAATACTGTGAGAAGAGTAGAAAACTCGGGGTTTTGCTTTCAGGTGGCCATTTGGTCACTGTGCAAACTTTTAAACTTTCCTATTTAAGTGCCAAAGAGCCACAAATAACAAATCAACAAATGAATGCAGCTATTTGCTAGTAATTCTTTGTTTACAAAAACAGGTGGCGGTCCAGATTTGGCACATGGGCCATAGTGTGACAACCACTGACTGGCCTAGTTCATTTCATCAGTTTTATCTGTGAGGAAACTGAGGCCTGACAAGATAAGCAGCTAGCCCAGCTCATCCAACTAGGACGTGGCAAGGCAAAGTTTAATACTCAGGTGTGAATCCCAGACAAGTGTTTGGACCACAAACCCATTTGGTACACTGGGAATGCCTTATACCCATTTTCTTCATCGGGTGAATTTGTGCATCAAAAATGACATTCCTTCTGTTGTCCCTGCTGCAAACACTGTATGCGAATGAGGCTTCCCAGTATCTTTTGTGTTTTTCTAGAAACCTAGTTATAAAAATATCTCCAGTGGTTTTGAAGAAGGTTATATGTTCATGAGGGCAAAGAGAATATACTTCTAAAAGGTTGATTTTTAAAAAATTTTTACATAGTTTGGTGGGTTAAATCATGGCACCATTTCAAAGAGGCCAAAGATGAAGGTTTGATTCTTGAACTGACACACAGTTGTTCCAAGGCCACAGATGGCACAGGCCACCCAACTGAGCATTTGTCATATATGTTCTGTGAGCTTAAAAGGCATCAGCGTGGAGAAAATGGGTGGTCCAGAGCAAAGCCCTCCTGGGGAGAGAGAAAGACTCAGAATTAATGTTTCTAGAGATTAGAAGCAGTTTATGTTTCTCCATGAGGAACTAGCACACTGCTTTCATTGTGGATTTTTAGAACAAAAACTATCAACCTAACCTCCTCACGTCTTGTGAATGTTATGCTTCTAGATAATCTGAGAACCAGCAAAACCTTGTTTATACAATCCAGGTCATCTTTGTCCTGCTTATTATAACAGGGCTGTGTATTATTTCATTACATATTGTCTTATCATTTTATCTTGTTATTTAACCATTCTTTCTGTTTATGCCCTGAATCTGTTACAAGGCATATGATCCATACCTTTCCCAAAAGTACTGCTGCCTTTTGGAGAAAAAATGACTTCAAGAACTCTTGAGGCAAAGAATCCAAAAGCTGTGAAGGTTTTGTTGGGGTTCCAAGCCAGGGAACTGTTCCATCTTCTTACAGATATTTTTTTGAGAGGGGATGTTTCTTGGGTTTGAGAACAGTTGAGATCCATCACACAATGAGTATGCAGGTTTAAGTGTGTGTGCATGTGCTATGCTCTGTGTGTGTATGTATGTGTGTATTGGGAGGGAGTTATTATGGGGATACATATGGTCTGAAGCCACACCTGCAGAGGCCAAGATCTAGGACAGGATTAGGGACCTGCCACTCTTTTGGTCTTTCTTTCATGGTCTTCTTGGTGGTCTTAATTCACGTTTTTTAGCTTTTTTCCTTTTCTCTTATTACCTACCAGTTGGTTTCCTATTACTCCCATTGATAGAAGCTTTCCTTCTAGGCTGCCTGATGTGTCACCAGAAAGCTTTTGGACAGGCCACCCTGGGAGATCCCACCTCAGTTCCTATTGGTGGGCACTCTGCACAAAAAACAGCCCAGTGTTGCTGCCCTAAGCGGGATGGTATTACCTAGGAGACAAACACTGGATATTGAATTAAAAAACTTCTTAAACTTCTATTTCTCTATATTTATTTTATTGTAAAAGAAATTCACATTTCTGGAGAAAAGTTTTAAAATATGCAAACTTAAGGAAGGAAACAAAAGTCATAATTTATCACCTACCTATAAGACATATTAATTTTGTTGGTCATTTTCAGGTCTTTTCCTTATGTGTGATTTCATATTCAGTGGATACAAATAATGAATGTGTAATTTTATATCTTTGTCATTTAATATTAACTGCTAGTTTTCTCTGTGTATATAAATATTCTTCAAACAGTGATTGTAATTAGGTGCAATCCATATTACAGTATAGATATACTATATTTACTTAACCAATATTGGATATGTAGATGGTTTCATCTCTGTTAAAATTTGTCAGAATTTAAGATCAATTTGTTAAAACAAATTCCTAGAAGTAGACTTACAGGGTTAAAGAGAATGAGATTTTTTAAGCTTTTCATATATATGGCCAAATCGTTTTTCTAAAACGTTGCTCCAATTTTTCCTTTCCTCAGCCATGTAGGAGAGAGAGCCCGCTGGTCCACATTTTCGTAACATTGAATGGCTGCTTTAGAAAATGAGACTTACTGTGTTATAAAGGGTGCTTTATTATTTTATTTATTGCTGATTATTTATTATATCAATTACTCTGCTATTGTTGCTGTAAGGAAGCAGTTGAGAGCCTCACCATACATGCAGAAACATGAAACACTTGTCTTTCAATTTTCACCAGTTGATATGCTAATCCAGTGAATGTCTGTGTCTCCTGTAGCCCTCATACACTGAATTTGACATCAGCGGCAACGTCCTTGCTCTGATCTTCAACCAAGGCATGATCTGGTAGGTCAGCTGGTGGACAGCATATCACTTGTAGAAAAGCGTCAGTGATCATTATTGCATAAAGCACAGTAGCCTGGTGTCAGAGAAGTCCACGGTCTGGTCTAACTCAACAATTGCCTTTGCAAAGTAGATTGCTAGGAAAAGCTAAAAAACATATATAATATATAGTATATAACATATATAATATATATTGTTTATATGTCTTGGAATATTTATATACTATATTTTTTCATATACTATATTTATATAATATAGTTATATAACATATGTTATATATAATTATATATGTTATATAATATTATGTAATTATAGTACTATATAAATATAGTATATATACATATATATTTTTTCATATCTTAACTCTTGGTCCTCAAAGACATCTGCCTGTTTTGCAGAGCATTCCTTTATCAAATACTGGGAGACTATTTCTACTTAGTAGATTATTTGAAGACTTTTTATACTTTTGTATCTTCTGACACCAGGGTCTAACAGTAAAACATTAATGATCCCATAATCACATGTAAAGTGTGAAATAAATTAATGTAAGACCCTTCTGAGGAACTGAATTTCTTTTGTCATTATTGAGTATATTTAGAGTACAACTTGTTGCGACTTTTAAAAATAATATCTTACCAAATCCGGTAGTTCATAGAGATGAAACACATGTTTTAGGATGGTCAAGCTAAAAATACGATCTTTATTTCGTAGCTTGCCTCACAGGCCATTTGCACATCAGAATTATGTCATTTGATGTACAAAGGATTGTCATATCTTTTATTAAATGAAAGCATTTTCACTGTAAAGCTTGTCAGGTTAAGACGAGCTGATACAGTAGAACTGTTTTTGAGTTTAAAAATTGAACCATAGCATGTGATTCATCTGGGGACCAGGTAGTCTTGGAAATCTGTCACTCTTAACTAAGAACACCCAACACACAAGCAGTTGCAATTGAGCTTCTTTATCCTACCCACACATGTTTAACATACCACTGTGCCACTGACCACACCATTGTCCTATAAACAGGGACCAGTAACTCCGTTCAAGTTTTGCACAAGCCTATCCCTATCACTTAAATCCTTCAACTGTAGCTGGATTGAATTATTAAACCATTGCAGTACTGGACCTCTCTGCAAATGCTAAAATGATCTTGCTTCAGTAATATAAAGACCATAGCCAGAGGCCCCATCATCCTGCCTTGGGGGCTGTCCATTTCCTGTGCCTCACTAGGTCAATACATATGAAGGAAAAGCTATAAAAATATTATATTCTCAATTATCAGGTATGTTTAAAAATTCAATTCCCATCCTCTTGCTTTTTAAATTTTGCAAGTTATGGCTCATGCACCCAGAGAATCATTAAAGAGTGAAATGTACCTTTCATTCTCCGAGCAGGGAAGAAAGCCAAGGTGGCCCAACATATGTCCACCGGCAGAGAGAGTAAAGGGAGCAGCTTCTGTGAGTTCTGGATCTTTCATTTTCTGGAGGGGATTGTACTGTCATAGCAGAAAATGGCGGAACATTGCGCCCAGAACAATGAGAAGCCATCACCTAATATTGGTTTTAAAACTCCCTGGCTTTTACACAGAGTGTCACAAATCCCTCAGGCCTGGCAGGTGCCATTTGTGCAGACATATGCTGCATGTCTGTTTCTTGTCCTTTCATAGCTAAGTCAACAGATTGGCCTAGAAATTCATTTCATTATCAGAAAAGCTGTTGTAATGACTGGACTGATTGGTTTCACTTACCATTTTGCAACTATTTAGTCCACTATTGTTCATGGTGAAATTCTTAAATATCTACACATCTCCCTCCTTCTCCCATGAGCAGAACTATTATCAAAATCTCTCCACTAGCCCTGCACTATCGCTTTCTGTGTATTCATCCTTTAGATACTGGTCAAGTCTTACTTCTTGGTAGTCCGAAAAGGACATTAGAAAGTGATGGTGTATTTATTTTGAGTGCAGAGATAATCACACACTTAGGAGAGTTTCAGAAGCAAAAGAACTATTATTCATCTTCAGATCAACCCTTTGTACAGATCGTCTTTTCCTAAACCCCAGGAAGTTAGTGAAGGAGTAGGAATGTATTGTGGTGGGCAAGGTGTGGGAGTGTGTATTCTAAGTGCAGTAAGCTCCCCTGCATAAGGGGACTCACACGTGGTAAGCTACTATTTTATGAGGTATGAGTAACTGATACTTGACTTTGGCCATACAGAAACAGAAGAGTATGGGAAGTTTGCACTCAATTCCATTGGTTACTGACTGGAGACATTAAGTTACTGCTTTAGAGGTTTCTAATTAGTGGAGGTTATTTACACTGATGCCAGTAAAGCTAAACTTTATAAGTAAAATCCATTTTGTCATGAAATTTGCTGATATGACCATAAACCTTTATATTATACACTTAATTTAAAAATGGATAGCATAGGTTTTTGTGATCATATTTTACCATGATGAACACACATAACTATCATAGTAGGGTATAGAGGCAGCAGAGAACACAGTGAGAGAGAAGATGGGTTTGGATGTTGCTCTAATGCTGTCCTTTGTGTAACCTTTCACTAGTGTTGTCACCGTCTGCTACCTCATTTTCTTGGTTGATCAAATGTGAATAATTTACCTGACATGTACCATGTCACTGGAGTAATAAGGAGAGCTCAATAAAAGAAGCTTTCATTTGCTTTGATCTTCTTGGAAGAAAAGCACTTTATAAGGCTAGGATATTATAATGATCTTTAACTGACAGATGATGGAATCAAGTCTGGGTAAGGGACTTAGTAAGCCAAGCTGATTAGTGAGTCACAAGCAAAGACAGAATGAGCATTAGGGTTCAGATATCAATGTGTATGGATCTGTTTTCCTAGGTTATAGTTCTTGAGCCATTTGTTCAAAATTCCCATGTGATATTTATTTTGAAAATCTGAAATTTATTTATTACAGATGCACATACATACATGTGTACATATATATGTGTACAGACTAGTGCATGCAGGTATACACACACACATATATATGTTTATATGTATATATACATATATGCAAAAATATATGTGGCTTTAGGCTAGTCTAGGTCTTAAATTGTACGGAATTGTGTCTGAGGACAAACTAGTTTGTGCAGCATTTAAACAGAACCTCCAAATCTTAGTGGCTTCCAAAGGGAAAAGTTTACTTCTTGTGTACTCGACATGCCCAATGTGGGTTGGTAGAGGGCTCTGCTCTTGTAAGTGACCCTTACTGCCGAGTCCTAGACTAGCAAAATAGGGTCCGTCTGGGACATTGCTGGCCAGGGAAGCAAAGACATGAGAACAAGAGCCACACAGGGCTTTTAATTTTTCTATTCAGTAGCGAGACACCTCATTTTAATGACTATTTCATTGGCCCACACAAATCACATGGCCAAGCCTGACTTTTAGAAGGGAGCAAGTATAATGACTCACTGACATCTCAACATTACTAATATTGCCATTTGAGAATATAGTGTAGGTGCTATGTAATTCTGGAACCTAGCCTGGGACAATCACTCATTTGCTCTCGTTTTTGAGACTCTAGGTTCTCTTTTGCTATCCTGTAGCAAAGATACCCTGTCTTGTTCCAAAGCCTATCTTCTTACTTTTTTTTAGTTCATATAGTTTCTAGTTTAGAGCAGTTTTGGGTTCACAGAAAAACTGAGTGGAAAGTACAGAGCATTCCCATCCCCTGATCTCCTGACATGCACAGCCTCCCCGACTAAAGGCATCCCATACCACATATGTTACAGTTGATAAACCTGCATGGGTATATCATCACCTGAAGTTCATACCATTAAAAAAAATCATTTAACTTCCTTCAGCGTCTCTGGTCCATTCAGTATGCTAAAATATTCAGATCTGTTGTGTGAAATCCTACCAACAGGACAATCCAAATTTTGGCAAGATTCCACTTTTGAATGAAATAGTTTAGTGCTGGTCTGCATAATTTTATTTACAGAAATAGCAGAAATTAATTTCTTCATCTAACTCACCCCTACCCCCCTGTGTATTATACCAAATTTACGTTGGATTAGTTAGAGCAGCTATTCTACATATCCAGGAAATATAAAATGCTCACCCTAACTAGAAGTGCTGAGAGCTTTATTATAGCTGGGACAGTTTAAAAGATAAGATTCTGCTTATACTTCTAAAATAAATGCACATGTATCCTCTTTTTGTTTTTGGACAAACATATTGCTATTAATATGGTTTTATGATACTAATGGATTTTCTCATCAAAGAAAATTGAAATTTATTTTGTTGAAATAACCAACTAAGCTATCAAGTAAAAGCGATCTTACCTAAGTGCTTCCTGTTTAAAAGTGGCACTTAAAAATAGCTTTTAAAAATCAGATGTACAAAGCAGTGGATTTCCAGGACAAGCTGAAGTAAGAAAGTAAACAGATTAGGTTAAATTAAATGAGTGTGTTGAATTTTCATCTCAAACACATAAAGTGTCCTATGGATTGTTAACAAAACACTGTCTATTATCAGGCCTAAGTACATCAGCTCTAAAACACCATCCTAGCTACATAGCTAATAAAGAATAGCATCAGAAAAAAGATAAGCTTATTTTAATTTTTTCTCTTCCATTAAGCAAAAATTAATTAGCCAATGAGAAAAGTAATTAATCCAGATTGTGCAGTGTATTTGAGTAGAATGGGTGGTTTTAAGAGGTTCTTATTACTATTTTTAAAAAATTTTAAAAAGTCTTTATTTACTTATTCATGAGAAACAGAGAGAGAGAGGCAGAGACATAGGCAGAGGGAGAAGCAAGCTCCATGCAGGGAGCCTCATGTGGGACTTGATCCAGGGATTCCAGGATCACGCCCTGATCCAAAGGCAGACACTCAATCGCTGAGCCACCCAGATGTCCCAAGAAGCCTTTAGTAAAAAGAAGTTAAATTTTTAGGTTTATTAATCAGTGATTTGAGTATTAAGGGAAATCCAGTTTATCTGAGAAGTAGAAGGAAGAGAGAAGTAAATACATGTGATACACTGTTTTCTCTGGTGTTTAAGTTTATTAATGAGAGCAGATACAGTTAGTGAGCAGCATAATAACTATGAAAGAATCACATAGCAATTCCTGGATAGTGGGGGAGACAGTAAAATGGGCATAGAAGATGGAAATTGACCAGCTAAGTTTATTTATCAAAAGGTTTGTGTGTTGAAAGTGGCACTACGTTTTCTGCCTTTAGCAAATAAACATGGTATAAAATAAACAGGTACAGTGTAACTTTGTTATGAAGAGAAGACTCGAATTGAGCAGAGCCATGTTTTTCTTTCTAGGATGGGCTCCTTCTTCGCCCCCAGCCTCCCGGGCATCAATATCCTTCGACTCCACACATCCATGTACTTCCAGTGCTGGGCCGTGATGTGTTGCAATGTTCCTGAGGCCCGTGTCTTCAAAGCTTCCAGATCAAATAATTTCTACCTGGGCATGCTACTGCTCATCCTCTTCTTGTCCACCATGCCGGTCCTGTACATGATTGTATCCCTCCCACCATCTTTTGACTGTGGCCCCTTCAGGTTCTTGCTTTTGAAATTCCATCTGGGTGGTTTTCTTCCAGGCATGGAGACAGGAATGGTCGCTCCCATGAGCCTTGCCTCCCTCCCCCAAACAGTGGCATTTTGGTCTGTAGATACTGATTCTTTGGGCATGCAGGCTCATTAGGTAATATGGAGAATCTTAGGCAAGTTCCATCAATTTTCTTATTTGGGAATCATAAAAGGAATCAAAAATGATTTGAGTGCACCCAGGCTCTACCTGGGTAGAATATGGACAATAAATTTGAGTCATAAGTGAGTAGCAAAGAGCAAGGTTTGATTATGCTATGAGGAGATGTGAAAGTTTTCCTGATGCTAACCAACACATTAAAAAATCAGAAGATATTGCTATGTCATGCCAAGGAGAAAATAATTAATCAACTAAAAGATTATTCCACTACCTAGGAAATGTGGTCATTATTAGATAATTATGAATATCAAGTGAGCCACACAATTTAGAATCCACAATACTACTTACTAGTAAAACAATTGAAGATGCTATTCATCATGGACATTCTCCCAAATAACAAGGACAAATCACTCACATCAGTAATAAAGAGCCAGGAAGTCTCTCTGATCTAAGCTGAAATGTACTTCTCTCCAGGTCTCTATGACCAAGTTCCAGCTGTGACACTTAGCAAGAAAACAAAATCCTCAGGATCTGGGGAATTGATATTTCATTCCCTAAATAGGGCCTTAGAAATGAATCTACCATGTGCACCTGGCTGACTCAGTTGGTTAAACATCTGACTGTTGATTTTGGCTCAGGTCATGATCTTGGGGTTGTGAGATCGAGTCCTGCATTGGATTCCATGCTGGGTGTGGAGCTTGCTTAATATTCTCTCTTTCTCTTAAAAAAAAAATAAAATAAATGAATCTACCATAAGTCACCCCAGCCCCATCCCCACCCCAGAATCTCTGCCTATCAAGTCACTGGTCAGCATGCATTTGAATTATTTCTCCTTTCCAACAAAAGAAATGTGAACATAAAAAGCCACGTGAATAGCAAGCATGAGCCAATAATGGCTACATGCAATTTCCTCGTCATGCCGTCAGGCCCAAGTTATGAAATTAAAGTCAAAAGTTTCACTGCCCACAGACTTAAGAGGCACTTTCACTCTAAAAATAGTCTGCTTTATGGGAGGAAAAAAAAGGAAAGAAAACGTTAAGCCAGCGATAGGGCAAAAACTATGAGAGTTTGTCATACTCAGGAAGCTGATGTTGACAAATCCTGATCCCTGCGGAACACCCCCACCACCGTGGGCTGAAATAAATAATGCAGACAGTGACATCTGGAGACAAAATATGAAATTGCAGCCGTGAAGGAGAGCTTGGTCTTAATAAATCTCTAATGACTCTCAGGGTACGAGGTTTACCAGATAAGCCATTCAAAGACTTTAGTTGATTGCAAATTACTCACACTACTGAATATCCAAGTTGAGTTTTAGATGTGCTTTTAACTTTCCAATTGGAAGTCGATACTTCTCAGAAAAATGTATCAAAGGAAAGGAAACCCCATAATGTCCACGTGGAGCTGGATAGGTGCATTCCTATGAAAAATATAATTGAGCTAGACATGTACCACAACCACACAATTTTAGCTTTCTAACTCTTCTGCCTCTCTTTGTATCACATACAGTTACTATGAATTTAATGAAAAAAAATTAGTCTGTATCTAAGGTATCGTACCTGATTTTGACCAAGAGTGTCCTAATTGGCAAACTTAGGCAAAATTTCTGCATATATATCACTATTTTGCATTAATCAAGAAAATTTACGTATTTTCAGTAGCATGTCAGGAAAAGATTCCTCTCTCTTATTTAAATAGTCTATTTCTCCTGTCATTTTCCTCATTTGGGAGCAAAAGAATGTATGCTTCATTTATTTGTTTGGACTTAAAAGTTTGAAAGGGTTGCTCTGGACTAGGAATGAGGTTAGAATGCATGTATTAATAGGAGCCTCATGGCTTGGCATGAGTTTGGGGTCATTTGCTCAGTCTGCCTAGTCTGACCCTACATGGTACCTGGGTGGGCAGCAAACATGCAGTTGAGGTAGGTTAATGGATGGCCACACCCCCACAGGGGCACAGTGATGGCTAATCACTCCCAGGTACCGGTGATGTTTTCAGGTAAGGTGGCTACTATACCTTAGAAGATCTACTCTGTAAAGCAATCTGATGACATATCTAGCTCGTTCTGGTTCATAAGACCTGGCTAGGAAGGGTGAATTTTCCAGAAAATTATTCAATAGGCTATTAAGTGGATTTACCTTAAACAGTTCAACAATTTGAAAACTACTTATTTGGTGTCCAGATGAAGAAAATTCTTCTAATTGCTCCACCACATTTGCTGACACCATGTTTCTCCCTCAACCCCTCACTAATAATTCCAAACAATTTATAATTCTCTAGATTCTCTCGTACTCTCCTGGTTTGCATCATGGGAATTATATTTTTATGTATTTTCATCTTATTGCAAAGGCATTATGTAGTTTATCCTAGAAACCTTGGAAATTGTGGAAACGTTGCTACAGGAAAATAAACACTATTTGAGATGCCTGGGTGGCTCAACAGTTGAGCGTCTGCCTTTGGCTCACGGCATGATCCCAGGGTCCTAGTATCGAGTCCCACATTGGGCTCCCCTCAAGCAGCCTGCTTCTCCCTTTGCCTATGTTCTCTGACTCTCTCTCTGTGTCTCTCATGAATAAATAAATAAAATCTTTAAAAAAAAAACACTACTCATAACTCCAGAAATCTGAAATAATACCTCTCAAGATTTCGGCATTTTGTATTCTGGTTTTCTTTTTATGCCGCATTTTAAAATAATCGAGATCATAAATTAAGTGCATATTTGTATTATATCATGACACTTTCATACTTATATTTATTTTATCTTGTGACGCTGCTATTATATTATTTTTTTGCTATTACACTTTCTATGTTTATTTTTTTTTTAAATACTGTAGCTGGCCTCTAGAGATTGAGGATAGAATATTTTCATTGCTGTAAGTCTAAACACAGTAGAGTGTTGGGCAGTAATTTGAAGTAATGAATGAATAATGACTGCTTATGCAATAAGAATTAGAGGAGCTATAGGAGCAAACTGGACACTGATTCTGGTCCTGTGAAGCTCTTGGTCCACTGGCAAGACAGATCTACTCATAATCTAGGGTTGATGGAGCTCTGCCCACGGGAGCTTAAGTGCAGTATCATTTCATTTGACTATTTAGTCACAGCATACTGGAAAGGACTTTTGGGCGTATTGACTAAACTATCAGAAAAAAAAGGATTTCTAGGGATCAGTAGATGCTTCTTTAGTTTGTATTGAAGTAAGAGACCTGGACTCCCAGTAAGACACCAGACCTGGAAAGGGGACAATCCCCAGAGATGCTAATGACTTTGAATTTGGGACAGACTGAATGCAGAGAAGATGGTTGTGGGTAGGGAGCATTTTGTAAAATTCTATTCCCCCCATTCTAACCACATTCATTAGCTTTGGCCCGAGAAGCTGGGGAAGGGAGAGTGGGTTGTCTTACCTTCTCTTGTCTTTGCCTACCTTCTTACTCTAACTCTATCCCCTATGTCTAGAAGGAAAACATGGCCAGTCAGAATGGATGAGGACAAAGAAATCTTAGTGGAATAAATTGATATGATCTTGAATGGCCTGCAAGCTACCTTCTCCTTAATATATTCACAGGTCTTGCTGCATGAGTGCAGATTTGTAATTTTTTAAAGATTTTATTTATTTGAGAGAGAGAGAGAGAGAGAGCACAAGCAGGGGGGTTGCCAGTAGAGAGAGAGAGAGAGAGAATAGAATCCCCGCGGAACATAAGCCCAATGTGGTGCTCGATCCCAGGACCCTGAGATCATGACCTGAGCCCGAAGGCAGATGCTTAACCAACTCAGCCATCCAGGCACCCCAAAGATTTGTAATTTGTGAAGCAAAACTTGCACCTTGGTAGCCCAGCAACTCTTGACCAGATACTTGGAGTTACTCAGTCTTTTGAAAGATATTATAGGTTAGATCAGGAGAAAAAAAAATTCCCATGTGGATTATGTTTATTTGGTTAGGTGAGAATGTATACATCAAAAAACAAAAGTGAAACCAGAATATTATGTTAAGTGTTATAACACCCTTTATTCTGATAATACCTACAACTTGGTGATAAATAACCTAATCTCTTTTCTGAGAATTACAGCTTTTCATAGTAGAATCAATATGCATATGGTGAAAAAAATGGCTTGACATGATGCGCATGACTTTATAATTCTGACTATTAGGTACTAAGATAAGACAGACTTCCTGCTCTCTTTTTTTCTGGTTTATAAAGGCTGATTCTTACCTTAATGGGTTGAGCACTAACCTATTAAGGATTTTTGCTTTTTAGACTTATTTTCCTTCTTTTTGCATTTTCTGTTCTTAGCAGCAGGACTGAGCTGGCAGTCATTAGAGCCTGTCCACAAGAAAGAAATGCAAAGGGAGAAAGGACTCATCATTTAGTGTGGTTACCTATTAATAACTCCGATGAAAGAAGTCTGTGGAAAATGAGATAGCAGCTATTGCATGGGGGGGAGCTATTGGATTATGTGTGGACTTTATTACGTTAAGCTATTCCTTATGCTCATTTCCAAGGCTAATTAAACGATTGAGTACACTATTTATTCAGCCCCAAGGGAGTATTCTCCAACATGGACAGCTGGCCGAGGGCAGATTTATAGACTTTTCATAAAATATATTTCAATCAAAATCTTAGAAATACAGCTTTAAAAAAATCTTCTCCTAATGCTGTGGTTAATTTCCTAACTGCTCAACTGTGTGTTTATGTTCAGATATCATTTCTCATATTTTAACATGTTGACAGAAAGAGGTCAAAGTGCCAGAAGTTATAGCTTAAACATTCAGTTCCCAACCTGAAAAAGTACTTAGGTGGTGTTAGAGAAAGATTTCTAGTTTTCTTGCTGTAACCATGGTTTTTACAGATGTTGTAAATAAACTTCTCTTCCCTGCTGCCCCCCCCTTTTTTTTCCAGTGGCAAAAATAGGATGTTCGAAGTCATTGGAGAAACACTGGAACATGATTTCCCAAGCTGGATGGCCAAGATCTTGAGACAGCTTTCTAATCCTGGACTGGTCATCGCTGTTGTTTTGGTTATGGCGTATGTGCTTCCAGCCTCATAGAAAGGGCTTTTGTAATAAGGAAAGCCTGGCTCCTTTTAAGTTTAGCTTTTTTGGCTTTCTCACGCTCTCTAAGGGTTGTGCTGTAACCTCACCAAATTCAGGGCTGATTACATGGTGGTGAGAGGCTGAAATTCATGAGCCATATTCTGATCCTATTGGATGTAATTCATAGCCATCTGCATCTGTCTTTGCCTGCCTAGGATTATAAGATTTGTTCCCAAGTAACCAAAATAATTATCAGTAAACAGCTCAAGCAAGGGAAACATAAATGCTAAATGCTAAATCTAATTAGCGCATTGAGCTTCCCCCCATCTCCTGGCCCCCACCTTGTTCCATAAAGCAGATGGCTGTGAACACACAGAAATGATGAGCCTCTAAGTTAATATTCTCTCTGGGGGCCTTATTGGCTATATTTTGGGCCTAAGGGTTTAAGGGGCTCTTAAAAATTACCATGTCCCTGTTCCGAAAGGCCATCAATAAGTGTGTGTTCATGATAATAGCATCAGAGGACCAGAAGGATCTTGGAAAGGTCACTTTGTCTATCCCTTCAAAAGTCAGAGGTGATATACAAAGGGGAACTTGGGAAGGGGCTTTTGTTCCTATGAAATTTTCATTGGCTTCTGACTCTTGACCACCACAGAGATAAAATTACATTCTGAGAAAAAATATATGTGTGCTATGGAAGAGCCAAAAAAAGGGGGGGGGGGAGCTAGCCTGCCCTTTCAACCCCTGAGGCCCTCCTAAATATAAAGTCTGGAATGGCCACTGTTCTCTCTCAGTCAAAGAGGGCAAATATAAAACTACCCTCACAAATGCATTAGAAACAAAGCTGATATAAAGGGTTAGATTTGTTTTTAAAAAGGTAAAACTAAGAAATATTCTGGAAAGAAATCCCAGTGATGTGAAGTAACTGAACTGGCATCTGGGCCAGGGTGTTACCATCATCTTTGTGATGATCATGGTCATGTGCCACATCAGAGAGGATGGTATCATGTTCAGTTTTCTTAAGATACTGGCTTAGAGGGACAAAGTGATTTTCCCTAGATAAGAAAGAGTATAGCATAGCAAAAGAGTAGTAGTAGGACTTTGACAATAAATCCAGCCTCTTTACATGTGACACCTTCTTTGAGGGCGAGCTAATAGCCTACAGGGATAATTAAACAGTAAAGCAGATTATTTTAAATATTAGAGAACCTTGATCCTGGGGTGGCATTCAGAATCTGATAGTGGATCTCTGGCTCACATATGTGAGAAAATGACCTGCTGGATGCAGCCTGTTTCACCAGATGGCCCTTGAAGTGATTTTTCTTTTCCAAGTTTTCATGATACACTGGCTTCTTGGGACCATGTTAGGTATTATATGGTTTTTAAAAGTCAAGGCCATTTACTGATATAAATGAGATCTTATATTAAAAATATAAAAACCAACAAAGCTTAATGTCAAATTTTATGACTATGGTCTTAACTTAGCGAAAGACAGTTTTATTTTTAAGCAAAGGAGCCACCAATTAAAGATTTAATAAGCTGCCTTGAGAGTATGGAAGAAGAACTAACATTGCCTGTGTTCCAGGCACTACCCATATATTAATCACTTAATTTCCACAAAAGGTTGGCTTCATTAATCACATTATTGATATTGCATGGAAGATCTGCCCCAAATCAAGTGGTTCATAAGTAAATTCAAACCCAGGTCTTTTCCCCCATCTCCTATTCCTTCTAATCATTTGAAGCACCAAACACTGAGTTTGGGGTGAGTGGGAATATAGAAGCCACTTGTCAGGAATGGTTTACACCCAGCTTCGGCACATTTTTTTTTCTTAAAGGGCCAAATCATAGACATATTAGGTTGTATGAGTCAAAAGGCAAAACTGAGGACATTATGTAAGTACTTACATAACCATTTAAAAATGTTAAAACCATTCTTAGTTCATGGGCCATGCAAAACAGGCTGGGAGTCAGTTCTACCCTGGAAACTATGGTTTGCCAACCCTTGGTACAGACTGTGTAGAGAAAAACTGGCAGGACCTGAGGTCAAATAGATGTCCTGCAAGACTGAGTATAGTTCTGAGGTTCTGATTTAAAACCCAATTTCAGTTTATTGCTGATTTGATTTTTCAAATCCTGAGATCTCATCTTCTAGTTTATGAGGCTCATGCAATTGGCTTGGCTCTTTATTACCTTTAATTAGAGAATGTTACATGTTATAAGCATTTTGAATTTCCCCAATGGATAATACTAAATCAGCTTGGATGTTTTTTGGGTAACTGAGTAGAATTCGGGTTAGTTATCTCTAGCCAGGTTCATTCCTTTGGAGACCTGAGAATTCCAGAAATGCAAGTGACTTGTGAGGTCTTTGAGTTCATTCAAATCCTCCAAATTCAGGCACATTTCTAAGAACACCCTTATAATACACACACACACACACACACACACACACACACACACACACATTTATTGAGCACTTACTTCATGCCAAATAGTATTCCAAATGCTTTCATGTATGTAATTTCACTCAAACTCCCATCACTCGGTTAAGAGATAAACAAATCCGGCTAAACCATATCAATAATTGTGTTGCTAGCACCAGATGGCTCATAAAGGATATAATCTGGCATAGTTGGGGAGTAGAGGAAATGTGTTTAGTATCCAGTTATTTGCAACAAAGAGCAATGCCAGTTACCTTTTTTACTGCATTTTGTTTGTTTGTTTTGCTTTAAGTGAAGATGAACATATTTATTTTTACACAAACGTTTGGCTGGAATTTGCTCTTTCTAGAAATGTAAATGTCAACTAAAAGCCAAGAATATTCCTTTATAAAACATTTTGTTTTTGAAGAAGGGGAAAAATGCAAACAATACATTCTATGGGAAAAAAATCCATGTTAATGAACTATGACTATGGGGATTAGAGTCTTTGTTGTAAAAGCCAAAGGAGGGAATTTAAAGCAGAAGGTCAATTTTTTATTCTATACATTCCCTAAGCTTCAGTAGCCTTTCCATTCTCTTGGATGCTATTCATGTCAACTTGAAATGTTACTTCTAATTATAATTTAAACTGATGTTCATACATTTCCAAGAAGAAGCTACAGTAAGGCAGTGAGGTATGGTAGGCAGAATGCTGGGCAGTGGAAGAGGACCTTTCGGTCCCATCTTCCCAGGTCCACCCATGTCCCAAATATACTTCTTTACCTCTGTGTACTTCTATCATTTATCTATACAATAAAAGACTTAGAGTAGAAAATATCTTAAAGTCCACTGCAGTGCCAACATTCTGTGATTTAGTAAATGTAAATTTAAGAAGAATCCCTGAACTGAAAAATACCATAAATCTTATTGTTTTTTTAAAATGTAGCTTGACCATCTATTATCTCAATGCTACTGCAAAGGGTCAGAAGGCAGCAAATTTGGATCTAAAAAAGAAGATGAAACAGGTAGGATATAATTTATTTCATTAATATGTTATCTTTATTAATGTCAAGTAGTAGGAAATACCAAGAAATATCATGTTCTTCTCTCCTTTTTGTATTGTGTAGCAAGCTTTGGAGAACAAGATGCGCAACAAGAAAATGGCAGCTGCCCGAGCAGGTCGGAGAAATGTTTACTATTGCTGTTTTTTTCCCCTACAAATAAAATACTCTTCCTTTTTTCCTCTTTTTTCTCTCCAAATGGGGCATTTGATTTGATGCAGGGTGGCATTATTGCCCTGAGTGAGTCATTCCACAATTTTACTGTTCACTTTTGAGACCCTCTCAGGCATCAAATCCTGGGGCTTGTTTTTTTTTTTTTTTTTTCAGTGGGGGAAAGGTACAAGAAAGAAAAATTTAGAAATGTAAACTCAGCAGTAGTAGAGGAAAGGTATCTTTGCAAATTGACAGAAGATGAAGATGACATCCAAATAGTCACATACAAATAACAGACACAAGGGGCACCTTGGTGGCTCAGTCAGTTAGGCATCTGTCTTTGGCTCAGGTCATAATCTCAGGTCCTGGGATCGAGCCCACATCAGACTCCCTGTTCATGGGAAGTCTGTTTCTCCCTCTGCCCCCCCAACTCATACCTCCTCAAGTACTCTCTTTCTCTCTCTCAAATAAATAAAGTCTTTTCTAAAAAATTAAATAACAGACACAAAGACACAATCTCTCCTGCTCGATGTTATACATAAACAGACACATTGGGAAGATATCATTAGGCTCTTCTGCACTCACCACTGTTGATTTCCTGGAGTCTTTTCTAATTCATTAAACTCTCTTTTTTTGTAACCTTCTTAATTTTAAAAATATTACAATAAGGCACACCCCTATTTGCCCAAATCCCTGATATGCTCTGCATTCCACATGGAAAAATGATGTCTAAGAAGTTTAGGGAAAAAATTTTTTTAAACTTTTCCCTCATTCTTAACTTTAAAACTCTTAATATAACTAGGGCTTTCCCCATGTATAAGTAATAAAACTCAACCCAAATTGGTTTAAATAGAAAAAAATAAATAAATTCATTAACCCACACAGATGAATAGGTTAGTTGTACGTATGGCTAAAGGCCACATTTTATCTTAAGTTTAGAAGTAGCAGGGCTGAGCCCCATTTCTCTGTGGTTCTTTCAATGCTACTTCTTCCATGTTGGCTGACCTTTATGGCAACAGGAATGGATGCAGCAATTTCCAGTGCTATGTCTTCGTATTACATTTGTCTTAGATCTTTTTTTCCATCACTAAACTAGTTGTTTCTTTAATTGCACTTAAATTTTTCAGCTTTGACAAATAAAATTGTGATACATTTTAAGTATACGATGTACATTTTGATCTGCCTATACATTGTAAAAGAACTCCCACCACTGTGTTCATTAACACATCCATCACCTCACATATTTACCTTTTTCTTTTTGGTGAAAATACTCAAGTTCTACTCTCTTAGCAAATTTCAATTCCATAATATATCAACCATAGTTCACGGTGTTATACATCACAGCCTCAGATCTTATTCATCTTATGACTGAAAATTGGTACCTTTTCATCAACCTCTACTTATTTCCCCCAACCCCAAACTCCTGGTAACCAGCTTTCTACTCTTTATTTTCATGAGTTTGACTTTTTTTTTTCTTTTTCATCAGATACCACATATAAGCGATACCATGCAATGTTTATTTTCCTCTGTGTAGCTTATTGCACTTATCCTAATGCCTTCCAGGTTTATCCACATTGTTGTAATGGCAGGATTTCTTTCTTTTATAAAGACCGAATAATATCTTTATATTATGAATACTAGTATATTATATTATATATCACATTTTATTTATCCATTTCTCTATAGATGGACTCTTAAGTTGTTTTCATTCTCTCATGCTACAATGAATACGGGAATACAAATTAATGATTTCATTTCCTTTGGACATATACCCAGAAGTGGGATTGCTGGATCATATGATAGTTCTACTTTTAATTTCTTGAGGAATTTTCATACTGCTTTCCATACTGGCTATATCAGTTTACATTCCCACCAATGGTTCCCTTTTCTCCATTCTTGCCAGCATACGTTGTCTCTTGCTTTTTTGATAATAGACATCCTAACAGTGTGAGGTGTTATATCATTGTGGTTTGATTTGCATTTTCTAGATAGTGATGTCGAGTACCTTTTCATGTACAAATATTGGCCATATGAATGTCCTTGAATAAATGTCTGTTCAAGAACTTTGCCCATTTTAAATCAGGTTATTTCGTTGTTATGTTGCTGAGTATGATTTTCTTGTCTATTTTGGATATTAACCCCTTATCAAACATGTGGTTTGCAGATATTGTCTCCCATTCCATAGGTTGTCTTTTTGTTTTATTGATGATTTCCTTTGCTGTGCATAAGCTTTTTGTTTAATGTTTATTTTTGCTTTTGCTGCCTTTGACAACAAAAATTGTTGTCAAGAACAAGGGCAAGAAGATTTTTCCCTAGGTTTTCTTCTAGGATTTTTATGATGTAAGGTCTTAACATTCAAGTCTTAAATCATTTTGTGTTGACTTTTGTGTATGTTGCAAGATGAAGGTTAAGTTTCATTCTTTTGCATGTGGATATCCAGCTTTTCTACCACTATTTATTGAAGAGAATATCTGTTTTTCATTGTATATCCTCAGTACCTTGTCAAATCTAATGGGCCATACATGTTGGTGTTTATTTCTTGTTTCTCTATTCTGTTCCATTGATCTTACTCTCTGTTTTTGATCCCAGCACCATACAGTTTAATTACTATAGCTTTGTAGTATAGTTAGAAATCAGGAAGTATGGTGTCTCTAGCTTTGTTCTTTTTCAAGATTGCTTTGGCTATTTGGGAACTTTTTGTGGTTCCATCGAATATAAGGATTGTTTTCTCTATTTCTTTGAAAATGCCATTGGAATTTTGATAAGGATTACATTGTATCTGTAGATTGCTTTGGGTGGTATGGACATTTTCACAATATTAATTCTTCTAATCCACTAATGTGAACTATCTCTCGAATTTATTTGTGTCTTCTTTAATCATTACATAATGACCTTCTTTGTCTCTTGTTACTGTTTTTGTCTTAAAATGAACTTTATCTGAAATTAGTAGAGCTCCACCTGATTCTGGCTTCCATTTGCATGGAATATCTCTTTCCATCTCTTCACTCTTGTTTGTGTGTGTCCTTAAAGCTGACATGAGCCCTTGTGGGCATCTTATAGTTGGAAGCATGTATGTCACAGATATCTGCACTGCTCTTAAATTTGCTCTAGATTGTGACTATAACTTAACATTATCAAGTTAGTGTTTAGCATGGCGAGCAAAAAGTTTTGACTTTTAAGATGATCTGAATTCTAGTTAAAGCTCATTATTACCTTTATTGTTTTAAATGATGATATAATCTTACAGCATGCTATTTATTTGATGTTTTCCTGTAATTTGTACTTAAAAACATATACAAGTTTTGTGAAGGCAGAAACTATCTTATTCATAGTTGCTTCCACAGAAGTTACTACAGAACTTTATATATAACAGTCATTCAGGAATACCTCCTGAATTTCTACTGGTCAATAAGGAGTTCTTTCATTGGAAAATTTTTAAAAGGATACATTTTTTTTTTAATTTTTATTTTTTTTTTATTTATGATAGGCACACAGTGAGAGAGAGAGGCAGAGACATAGGCAGAGGGAGAAGCAGGCTCCATGCACCGGGAGCCCGACGTGGGATTCGATCCCGGGTCTCCAGGATCTCGCCCTGGGCCAAAGGCAGGCGCCAAACTGCTGCGCCACCCAGGGATCCCAAAAGGATAAATTCTTTTTTTTTTTTTTTTAATTTTTATTTATTTTATGATAGTCACACAGAGAGAGAGAAAGAGGCAGAGACACAGGCAGAGGGAGAAGCAGGCTCCATGCACCGGGAGCCCGATGTGGGATTCGATCCGGGGTCTCCAGAATCGCGCCCTGGGCCAAAGGCAGGCGCCAAACCGCTGCGCCACCCAGGGATCCCAAGGATAAATTCTTATATTAATTATGTTAACAAAAAAATAACAAAAAAAATAATAATGTTAACAGTATTGAATAAACATTATAAAAAGATCAGAACTTTCACTTTCACTCTCCTGGAAAAAAAGAAATATAGAAATATTTTGACTATAAAAATGCTAAGTATATGGCAACATGGGGCACATTTGGAAGATACAGATTTCAAATCACCTCTTTCAGAATGTTAAGCATAACGAAAACTAAAATGTCACTTTACTTCCTCATTTCTCTCTCTCTCTTTCTGTTTCTCTCTCTCATACAGCTGCAGCTGCTGGTGGCCAGTAACTACAGACAATGCTGGGGCTCAGAAGTACTCCTCACCTTGCTGCTTAAAAGCACTGATTCGTGTAAAGGCAAGAACACAAGCATTGTGAAGTTGCTGTTCTCCTGCTCTAACCCTCATAGATGGAGAAGGGCATGCTGGTCAATCAAGGCATCATCAGTCCTAGTCCAGCAAGGAAGATCTCCACCTTGTTCAAAATTAAGAGATTTGTCCCCACTGCCACTTTCTTGCCTGACTCATTTCCTTGGCATTTCTTCTAACAATAGAGTTTAAGGGTGGATGTGATTCAGCAATACAGGTTACTGGTTTACCTTTTGGGTTAATTAAAAGTAGTTTGCTCATGTGGACTTTGGTTTTATATGTTCCTTCTGCCTTAGTTTTCTGTGCCTGGTAACAGATATTTCACCCCTTTTTTTCCTGTAGAGTTCGGAAATATCTTTATAAAGTATTTAATTGTAATTATTCATTAACTCACAGTTTGAAACTAACATCTTGTTTTCCTTCTTTTTTATCTATCTCCCCATCCTGGGCCCCCACAACTATACACTCAAGACTTTTTATTTGCTGCTGGATTCAGTATGAAAAGGAATGGCATTTTTAAATGAAAAATCCTAAGGGAAATAGGGGTCTAATTAACACTGGGTTGAAGGTCTCTTGTCTTGAGGTACATAGGTCTTAGACAACCCACCTCTTTGTGAGTTAAAAAAAAAAAAAAGACATTGTACATGGTTACAGTTCCATCCCAGCCTGATCATGACCTCCAGTAATCACATCTCCTGAGTATAGATTCTAATATTCCATAATTTGTCTTTGCTTTTTGTTAAGGTTGGAAAAATACACTTTAATGGAGGGGATTTCGTTTATAGATGTATTTAAGCATTATTCTTTATTTAAAGTTTGAATTGACTTTGAATAGCAGCAACCAATGCCCTCGGTAAGAATTGTTGTGTGACTTCCATTACATCTGCTAACCCACAGTGTCCTTTTCCAGGGCTAAGCCAATTTGCCTGCTATTCCCTGCAATTGACTTGCTGGTTTTTATTACCATGTTTTTGAGTTTTTCCTTCTTCACTCTTCATCTGGCCATAAAACCATCTCCCTGTTCCTCTGCCAATTTCATTCACTCATCACTGCCATGATACAAATTCAAGATGTACTTCCTTTAGTTTCACTTTCAGATTGGCTTCCATTCCGAATTGTATCACTCCTCCATAGGTTTCCTTGGACCCTAATGTCTTTAATTCGGAGTCTATTATTTAAATAGATTTTCCCGTGATTTTTAACAGTTCTTTATTGTTTCCTGTACACATGGATCATCTATCCTATCCAGACTGTAAGCTCCCTAACAGCAGGGATCATGTCTTTTAGCTCTTTTATATGCCTAGTATAGTGCTGTGCACAGGTAGGCACCAAGTAAATGCTTGTTAATTAAATTGAATCAATTTAACTTAAAGCAGTTGCACTGTGAAACAAAAATTTCTGTTATCTGCATGAGAAATGTTACTAGGATATCAGAAACGAATTATGTATTGCTGTGCAGGGTTTATCATCTCATTGGTTATAATGCAGATGAGTAAATAAAGTGAATGCTTATTTCTACGTGGATCAGTTTTGTACTGTGTAGTAATAAGATTAGAGAATTGGTTTATATGCGTTGCCAAATTTACAGCGTGGATGACACCCCCTTGTTCTTGATCTGCTTCATAACAAAGATGATGAGAGATGACAAACCATCACCCAAGGACTTCATTTAGGGAAAGACTGTGTACTTTTTTTTTCAGTCTAGTTACCTATGTTACCATACACAGTCATTAACGATATTATTGACTATGTTCCCTCTGCTGTGCATTGCATCTCCATGACTTACTTATTTTATGATTGAGTTTGTACCTCTTAGATCAATGTACATTTGGAACAAATGCTCATGGTATAAGAATTCAGGTATGATAATTCTAAGTTTTAGTCTTTCTAAAAATTGAAAAATAAGTTGGATTTTTATGGCACCTAAACACCCACCTGATTTAAGTTAAGCACTTTTAGAAAATTTAATCCTTTTAGTCTCCAGAGAGCTGCCCATAATATTTCCACAGGACTACATGAACAAGTATCTGAAAGACTGTCTGAGGAATAGCCTTGTAGTAGGAAGGTTGTGATCACGATGATAGTTCTATATCATTATTTCTGTATATATATAATGATCAGAGCCATAGGAAAAATTTTAGAAGGTAAATGAACAAACCAACCAACCAGACTGCACTTTTAAGTTTTTTCTGAGAGGAATAAAAAAAAAAATCTGGCAAATATATCTGAGAACTAAATTTACTCCTCTGAAGAGCTCACCATTGATTTAAAAACTGAAAAACTGCATTTTGACACTTAGTTTGAATTATCTCCTTTGGCTTCTGAGAGGAGCACATGGTTTAAACTACATGAAGGGGTTGGTATTAGCAACAATTTGACCTGAACTATATTTTCATATCCTGATGGATCCCTAAATGTACCAGTGCCAGAGCCCATGCTGGCCAGGTTTGGAAATATATTTGGTGGCCCAAATATTATAATATAGTGAGGTATAATTCCCCTAGTTGCCACACGGGGTCAGTCTTTGCTATCTTCACTCCTCAGTAGATGAGTTAATAAGAAGAGGTTTTGGGTCAATTTCCCTGCCTTAGATTTTAGTGCTGGAGCCCTGCCTTTAACCTACTTGACTCTACTGGAACGTGCAATATTTCACTTTGTTTTACCAGCCGTTTCCACAAAGAATATGGGTAGATTGTGAGGAAGTGGGCTTGTAATACATGCTGGGACAACACTGGGTGCATGATCCCCAGGAACCACTATGAGGCTAGTATATCTTCATCCACTTGATAAACATTTATCAAACACTATGTCACATATTTATCAAAGGAAATGTAGCCCAAGTATCACCTTTTCTCTCTATTTTCTCCCATTGTTTTGCACCACCTGACATATTGATCTTCTTGTTTTTCAGAATCTTCTAGAATGATATTACAATTTACAAAGCCTTTTTAAGATTGAGGAAAGTCAATGATACTTTCCATTTAAGGCAAGACTGTGACTTTATTCATGATGACATAGATATTACAGTACATTGTTAGAAATTAGAAAAGAATTTTACTCTCTCTTATTCTCATCAAGTGCAATGCCAAGCAAAATCCAGATGTACCCTCACCTTTCCCAGCTTTCTTCCAAGGCTAGGATTTTTTTGATGGGCCTCACAAGCTTAGTGAATGGACCTCAGCACTGGCATCACATGCTTAATGAATAGAATGCAAACAAAGAAGTTTAGCCTTCAAGGAAAACCAAGTTCTTTGGGGGAAAACCAAGGTTGTGTTTCAGCAGAAGGAAACCAATGAGATGGGAATCTGATAACCTTCCTTTGAATCAAAAATATAATGCCCAATTATAACTTTCTTTTGCCTTGTTTGGTGTATAAGTGTAAAAACATCTCCATAATTTATTTGTCAAGAAATATATCCCAAAAGAATGAGTAAGCAGGCTTCAAGACTTAAGAATGGGATTGGTAAGCGTTTTCAGCTCTCAACGCAGATATGCACTTGATTTTTTGGAAGAAAGACATCAAGACTTAAGCATGTGTTTGTTTTTTTTTTTTTTAATGGACTATAGTCATGGGTTCTTTTTGTCTTTACTTCCTGCAAGAAGGAAATACCATAATGTGATGGTGACAGAAGTTCTCAAGCTCCTTTATGAGATTCATTTTTCTCAGAGTTCTCTGGTAACTGATCGCCTTGATATTTGGCCTTGGATGGTCCAGCTGCCTTTTCAAGAATGGGTCTTGGTGACTTAGTAACTATGAATAACAGAAAAATATACATAAGAAATACTTGACCTCTTCTGAGAACCTAGATATTATATAATATACAACTTTTTCATAAATTTTTGTGAAAAAGAAGTTTTCACACAAATCCTTGTGGTTATTTAAAACCTTATAATAAGGGTACCTAGGTAGCTCAGTCAGTTAAGTGTCTGACTCTTGATTTCGGCTCTCAGGTCATGATCTCAGGGTCCCTCCCTCCCCACCTCCCACTTGCATAAGAACACTCTCTCTCAAATAAATAATTTTTTTAAAAAATAAAAACTTGGGATCCCTGGGTGGCGCAGCGGTTTGGTGCCTGCCTTTGGCCCAGGGCGCGATCCTGGAGACCCGGGATCAAATCCCACGTCGGGCTCCCGGTGCGTGGAGCCTGCTTCTCCCTCTGCCTGTGTCTCTGCGCCTCTCTCTCTCTCTCTGACTATCATAAATAAATAAAAAAAATAAAAATAAAAATAAAAATAAAAATAAAAACTTATAGGGATCCCTGGGTGGCTCAGCGGTTTAGCACCTGCCTTTGGCCGGGGGCTTGATCCTGGAGACCTGGGATAGAGTCCCACATCGGGCTCCCTGCATGGAGCCTGCTTCTCCCTCTGCCTGTGTCTCTGCCTCTCTCTTTCTGTGTTTCTCATGAATAAATGAATAAAATCTTAAAAAAAAAAAAGAGGTACTTGTTTGTTACAGCATTTTAAAAATTTTGAATAGAATTAAAAGTAAAAAAACAAAAAACCCATAATTCTACTACCCAGAAAAACTGCTGTTGGTGTTTTGGCACATTTTTTCCCTTCAGATTCACACACATATACACACAGACTTAATAAAATACTTTGGATTCTGAGATATATTTAGTTTTATCTTACTTCTTTATTTAACATTTTCCCGTGTCATAAAATTACTTCAAGATATGTTTTAAGGCTATAAAATACATCATGTGGCTTTAAGGAACTTGTTCAAAACCTCATGTTTCTTATCTTTAAAAATGGGCAGGGGGATCCCTGGGTGGCTCAGGAGTTTGGCATTTGCCTTCAGCCCAGGGCTGATCCTGGAGTCCCTGGATGGAGTCCCGCGACGGGCTCCCAGCATGGAGCCTGCTTCTCCCTCCTCCTGTGTCTCTGCCTCTCTCTCTCTCTCTTTCTATCATAAATAATAAATAAATAAATCTTTAAAAAATAAAAATAAAAATCT